CTGCCGCACAGCAGCAACACAACCAGATGCTGCTTCAGCTGCAGAGCGAGCAGCGGAATGTGCAGGCCCAGCAGGAGCACTTCATCAAGGCGCAGGAGGCTATGGTGAGCCGAGCGCAGGACATGGCGGACAGGAGCCTGCAGCAGAAAAAGATAACTTCATTGCACAGTTCTTCATCATTCAGAATGAACTGTCAAATCATGTCTTTGACGAACATTACACGTATGAGATGCGGAAGACGCAGTGTCACTTCTTGGGTTGAAGATGAAGACGGGTGTGAAGGTTTCATCGGAACCGAAGATGAGGAGACATTCTTGGTCCTTGAAGATCATGATGCATTCGCAGCCAGAAAGGTGTCAGGGTGACATCTCAGATCAGGAAGACGACAAGGAAAATCAAGAGGCAAAAAGGGCAATTGCCGACCAGGCGGTTTCAAACCCTTCAAAAGGAGCAATGCAGACGGCGAACATCAGGATCCCTACGGCCAGTCTCTGAAACACAGACTTTTGCGAAAATCCGTCCTTGTCACTCTGCGCACTTTCGGTCGCTCGCTTTGTTGCCTGAGCCAAACTCCGACCCGCTCAAATCACGCAAAGTCTTGGTGAAAGAAACAAACAGACAGACATACAGACAGACAGACAGCCCGGCCGACCGACCGACCGACCAACCAACCAACCAACTAACCAACAACCAGCCAACCAACCAACCAACCAACCAACCAACCAACCAACCAACCAACCAACCAACCAACCAACCAACCAACCAACCAACCAACCAACCAACCAACAATCCATCCAACCCAACAAACACACAAACACAACACAAACCTTGGACTAGACGTAGGCTTGTTGCAAAAGTGAAATCTTGTTGCTTGTTGAAAGCGGGAAAATAGTGGAATACCAAACAATTGCATAATTTGGTCAACACCCAAACAGCCTGAAGCCAGGGCCCGCCGATGCCTCACATCTCATCTGCTTTGCCTGCGCAGCTGGTCGCCACAGGAGTGTTGCAGCTGCAATCATGATCCAATGGCTGCTCAAGAGCAACTTGGTGACGAATGAACTGATATGTGGTGCTTGTGCAAGAATGCACAGTGGATGCTTACGGGGTGAGGCACACGTGGCCTTTGGACACGCTTGAAACTTTCAGTCTGTAGTTTCTCAACATGCCCCTACATCTGCCCATTGCACGCCCGGAATTACTGAATGATCGACACGCTCTCGTTTGGCGATCAGCGCTGTTTCAGTTATGTCTCGGCGCATGACCAATTGCGTACCAACACTTGAACTCTTATCAACTTGTTGTCAAGCTCGGCTGGCAGCCTGGGCCAGCTCCAAGAACAGCCTGAGCGTCGCCTACGACGGCAACCGGCTGATTCTGAAAGATATAGGGGGCCACAAAGCAAGTTACGTTGTGTTGCAGGGCGCTCTTGCAGGTGTGGCTGCAAGCCGAGACTCTGAGTCTTGACGCGCACAAATAGCGTGGAGCCAAGCTGCGGCGGGGCCTGAAATCTTGAAGGCCCATTGCGTGCCCCTCAGATATAAAGAAAAAGCTTCTTCACGGATGGCTGTAGCAGCGCTGCCCATCGTGTTGTTGCTGCTGCAGGCTGCTGTTGCAGGGTGCTGCTGCAGTCGAGCCTCAGACTTGCACAGCGCGCTGCTGCAGGCCGAATTGCGCCGGGCGCTGTTGCAGAGCGCAGCACCCTGCTTGCAGGCTGAGATTCAAGAGTCGCAAAGTGTGCTGTTGCAAATTGGTTCTGCAGGAATCGATAAGTGAATAAGCGATCTGTTTGAAAAGTGTTGTGAAGTAATCTGGGGGACTGTTGGGGCACAAAGATTGGAAATAGCTGAGTGGTGACAGTGGTCCGTAGTTGAGATTGTGATGCTTCCAAGTGAGAAAGAACCGTTCAGCTGAGGCCAAGGCGGTTGAGGCAAACCGTGTCAATCATGTGGCCTGGGCCAGCGCAGGCTGCCCCAGCAATCTTACAAGAAGCACATTTGCAGTGTGGCTCGCAGTGTAGCAAACTGCATCATCGCATACAGTCAAAGCGCGAGGCCTGGAATGCCTTCGTGACTGTCACGCGCGCGTGGCGTGACATTCCCAACACATGCCAACTGTCATGGTTATCAAGTGGCGTCAGTTGCATTCCACATGCATGTCATTGGTTTGCAACAAAGTCAAGACACTCGTGGAAGAGGCACATTGCCGCTGCTGTCCACACAGACACACTGCATGCTACATGGCAATGTGCAACCTGAGCCTAACCCCAAAAGTATACCTCAAGCCTTTGTCCATATGTTTCGACAAACATAGTGGCAAGGTTTCAGGAATTATGCCAACACGCTCTGAGACAAATGCGCAGGACAGGGGGTGGTTTACCCAAAGGGCATACCAAGCCGAAGCCACGCATAGTATACCACTCCCAGTGCTGATTGGGAATGAGCCGGAAGGGGATTCCCTTAAAGGAAGCCAAGGAGGCATTTCCTCATTCTCTGCTGAGAACCAGCAAGTCCTCACTCCCCACTTCACCCTTGAGAAGCCCAGGTTCATGTCAAGGGCTCCGCCAAGTAGCAGACCCCAGGTGCTTCCCCGGCTCGCCAATGAACAGTTCACCCCAGCGCCACCTTGGCCCCAGAGCGCGCGAAACGCCCGGGACCTACGATTCGAGGGGTTCTGCGTGGGTTCTAGATTCCCCTGGGCCTATTTAAGGGCGACTGTTTTTGCTAAGGTGCCTTGGGGGGAAGCTGGGCCCTGTTTTCACTGGCTCAGGTTTGGTTTCGCAAGAGCAACTGCCGAGCTCTTGAAAGTTGATTTCAGATCAAGAAACTTGTCTACCAGACCGCATTTCCCACCATTCAATTCAGTCGTCCGGCGGTTTGCTGTTGGCCTTGGTCCTTGGCGTCTGTTTGTTTTGTTCTTGTGAACGCGGATTTGTTGGAGTGTTTGAAGCATCTGGCATGTGACTTGTATTTACTTTGCCTTTTGTAGACAGCATTTATCCTGCGGGCAAGAGCAGCCACACAAGCACGCAAGCTGCAGGGAACTTGGGACAGAACGGGCACGCGCCGATGGGAACGAACGGGGGAGGGGGTTCATTTCCAGGTCCTTTGGGCCATTAAGTTTACTGTAGCTCCTGAAGATTGCAGCGATGCGCTTTGCCGGGCGATGTTTTGAAACATATTTATGCGCCGCACTCGGCTTGGATCTGTTGGTCAAAAACGTAAGCGCCCCACTACAAGAGCAATACTTGAAACGACTTGTTGGCGCCGTATCCAGGTGCCTTGGGGCTCAACCCCCTTTAAAAAAATGGCCTTGGGACCCAATTTGGACGAGTAAATGGCGGATATACCTTTCCATGGTTTGAACCCCCATTAACGAATGGTTTTTTGGCAGCCTGGATTTGGGTCACGCCTGGAGGTCAAGGATTCTCGACTCCCGGGCCTTGAGCGGGTGCGGGGCCCTGAAGCTACAGCCATGGGCTCAACCCCCGAAAGATATGTTCTTGTTTTTTTTCTTTTTCCATGTGATTTTGAAATGTGCTTCATCATTCAAAAGATAATGTTGTTTTCTATGTCTTTGTAGGTATGCGTGTATTCTAGGTAATTATTCACTATATTTTCCAGATTCCCTTGGAAGATGGGTAACACCTCACAGTTCAGCCGGAAATGCATCATGTTTTCCGAACTCTCGGGATGGGGTGATTTCTTGGTTCCCAGCTCATCCAGTTCCAGAGGCTTGGAGGTTTTTAGTTGTAGTGGGAGTTTCCAGATGTAGCCCAGGAAAAGTAAAGCTTTTAGCACGGGATCCGAGGACAGCCCAGCTTGGATCGGTTGGTTTGGTCAGAAGTAGCTTAGTTCTACTGGTTTAGATTGCGGTTTTATGCCATGCATTTACCAGGGGCATGTCATTTCTCCAAAAGCTCACCTATGCACCCAATGGCTGTGGCGTGGATCCAAGATTTTGCCCAAAGGTCACAACATTCGACTGCCAGGTCCTGGAACCAGAATTTGTTCTTTTTGATTGAGGTGGAAACACACCTGACAAGGCAGGCAGACTTTTTTCTCAGAGTTTTGCATGTCGTGTTGGACGCACCTATAAGTTTTTCCGAAACGCGAACACGGCATCCACTTTTGGGGATGAATGGTGTGCTGGAGAGTTAGCTGCTCACCCCAGATGAAATCAGACTTCTACCACAAACCTTTTTTTTTTAATTTAAAGAACATTTTTTTCGAGCTCTGATAGGGGAATTGAGGTGACCCTGGATGTGGATTCACCGGTGTTTATGCGGGCGTTTCGCGGTTTCAGTGCTGTGTTGGCGTTGCAGCCTCATTCATCCCACTGGAGTGAACATTTGTCTTAGCAGCTCGAGTGGCCGGTATCCCCTGATGCCGTGAATCGTGCGCCATTTTGTATGATCCCTTGATGTGTGCATGATGCATCTGAGTGGATTCAACGCAAGGTGTCGATTTCTGCACTCTTGGCAAGCTGACCTGGACCTATGGAACTGGGATGCGCAGCAACCGAGCCGAGTAAGGATCCTTTCGAGTTGTAAATGGCGACGAGTACAGTTTGTGTTTGTTGTTCCTGGGGAAAGGCGATGGGATGATGCCTCCACTATGAGCGATGGCCAATTGTGTAGATGTAATTGTGTAGATGTCCTCATCAGCAAGATATCGCACATTCGCATAAACACATGGCATGAATCGGCCTGAACTTCATTGCCAGTGTTCCCTTCACAACCAATGTTGCAAGCGCGCGCAGTTTCTTCACGTTGATTCACAAACTCTATTTACACAATGCCTTTGGACCAAGCTGCTCGTAGATCCGCATCGACGATACTGCTGGTGGTCGACCAAAACCGGCAAACCTAGGCACGACTGTAGCTTTCAAAATGTTTTGCAGAGTCATATCAGAATTTAATCGCATTGGAGCCATGATCACATCTCACCTTGACACAACCTCAAGGCGCTGGGCGTCCACAGAAGAAGCACTGACTGACGCACCATGTTGTTTGGTCGTGACCAGAAAGCACCAGATAGCCTTGCCTTCCGCGCCGCCTTCGGCGCGCGTACACTCGATGAGCTGGCCACAGCATGCCTGGCACCTGCTGGAGGCTGAAGAGGCACCGCTGCAGTTGGCCTTGGAGGGTGGTGGCAATCTGTAGAATTGCTCACTTGTCCAAAGCTGACCTTTTGACCTTTCGGGTTTCGTGTTGGTCCATTTTCAGCCATGCCCCCCCAAAAGCTTAACTTGTTGTTTTTCGGGTGCTTTGGGCAACTGAGTTTTGGGAGGCCATGGGGGGAAGTACCCAATTGTTGCCCCTTTTCGTTTGCAGGGGACCACCCAAGTAAACCATGAAGGAAGTATGTCGGTCGCTCATGATATTTGTTTGGTTGCGGGGTGAAGGTGAAAGCACGGCACCAGACTCACTAGACCTCTGGTCCGAGCTATGGCTCAGGTCTGTTTCGACACCAAGCTCTCACTCTCTTGAGGAATCTCAGTTTCTTTGCCAGGAACAGCTGGTTGTCAAGTTTTGCATGCGACTGCGAATGGAAACGAGAGCTTGTTTGCGAATCTCCACTGGCATATTGACTTAGCATCAGTTGCCATGACCGATTGCGTGTCCTACACACAGGCCAACCAGCGCAAAAGGGCAGAGCTTCACACCGGAGATTCTTCTCAATTGTTTGCTTTCGGCACGCGAAAGCGCCCAACAGGATCCATGCATTTGACTGTTTCCATGGTGCCATGGGTTGTCACAGTCAGCCACTGGAGTCATTTCCGTGAAACCTGCCACTGGGAGGGTGACTGAAACAATGGTGAAGCAACGAGGCTATTTGTAGAGCAATGCTCGATGAGCGTGCACGACTTCTGTAAAAAGGCAGAAGGACCACTTCGAAGTTCCCCAGCTTCCCCACGTGTAGACCCCTCCGAAGATCGTACAACTTGGCAGGTTCTGGAACCCCCCGGAGTCTTTTTGTCGGTGCGTTGCCTCCTGGAAGGGCCCTCATGGGCTGCTTCGCCCTTGAGATACAAGCCTTGAGTGTTTTGCAAAGCTTTGCCTTTTCAACTCTGAGTGAAGCGGAGAGCCAGCTGTTTGTGCGGTTGACTTCCTGTTTCCACATTTTGTTGGCACCAGGCCCCACTGACAGCTGCTTTGGCATCTTGGCTGCAGAATTCGCTCGCATTGCACCTGTCAGCTTCGTAGGAGCCATCACATCCTCCCATAACTGTTTCTGATTTGCAAAGTTCCTGGCTATGAGCACTTTGGTTGTCGGTTCCATCAAGAGGTATCTGCAAGGGGTTTGCGGTGCGCCCTTTGCCTGATGCAATGTTTGCCTGATGCAATGTTTGCCCACTGCAATCAACCAGCATGTAGCCAAAAAGCACCGGCCCTAGTGGTCCCCTCAAAAGAGAACTCCACAGGGAGTTGTGATTCAAGTTCGGTGCTGCACAGCAACATGTTCAAACGGATGGCAATGGGTGCCCTGGGGCTCTTGGCTTATCATATATTCAGATTTCCTTCAGTTGCCCCAGCCGAATGTATCGCAGGACCCCAAGCCCCCAGTCGCCAAAACGGGCGTGCCTTTTTTGGGGACCCCCCCCCGGAGGCAAAACGGTTTTCCTTTTGGTTTCCCGAGGCATCAACTTTAAAGACGCGCCACCCGTCCAGGGACAGAAATGGGTGGCTCGGATAATGGCGGGTTAGTACCCCTTTTTGGTGGTTTTAAAGGGCAACCAAAGGGAGAGCCAAAATCCACCACTTTGGGTGGTCCCAAATACCAAAAGTAATCACACACCCAAACAACCAAAACACATGATGTTTACAGGGTCCCCAGTTCCAAGAGGTACCCGTCAAGTTGTAGTTGTGTTAGCCTTAGACATGTGCGAGCCTGCGCAGAGCTGGTGAAAGGCATCGAGTGCTGTCCCTTGTCAACAGAGGCCCTGGATGCTGAGCTCAACTGATCCGAGACTTGTTTTTCTAGGGGAAACCCATGGGAGAAGCCGCAAGTGGACGGAGAACGGTGTCCCTTTGTCCAAGCCTCTCACGCTGATGTCTTATGCTGCACCCTTGTTCCCGATGTTTTTCGTCGGCTTCTTGGCATTGAGGCCTTGCTGCCCGGTTGGGCATTTGCTGCAGTATTCTTTAGTGCCTTTGTGACGGCTGCTCGGCTCTTATGGAGATGCGTTTTTTGTGCCAGGATTGCCAAGGGATCCTCAAAACCTCAAAACTTGGCGATGACACTTTGTTCTTGCCCCCCCAGAAAGACCTTCGCAGAGCTCATGGCTTTGATTTTTCCGAAGCCGAGCCTGCCGATGCCGAAATCAATCACCTGTGGCATCCACAAGGACCGATGCCAAACGGCGCTTTATCATTCTCTACGTGACATTACCTAAAGTCGCCTTACGCGACTTCACGAGTCGCATGTTTGTGCGGAATTCTTTGTTTCAGCTGTGTGGTATTGACTTTCGCGCACGCTGTTTCGCATCAAGCTCGCGGAATAGCCAGCAGCTCCGGGAGCAGGCCATTTGATTCAATAAGACCATAATATAATAACACATAAACTCTCCCAAAATCAAAAGAACAACAGCCACTGATAGGAGTCCATTCGCATTTTTGCAAGACACCTTCTGCCTTGGTGTGACACCATTTGCTTATCATGCTTTGCCATCCTTGCTTTTGCCCGGATCGGGTCCAGTCACGCAAAGCACACAAACAGGCTAGGACACCTATCACACCCAGCCTACCAGAATGGTTTCAGATGTTGCAAGCCCCATTTTGAGACGTTCTCGCGTTAATTGGCATCTCAAACTGCCGAGTTCAACTTTATTGAGGGTGTGCACCGTCAGGGGGTCCTGAAGGTGAGTAGGCTGTGACCAACAGAATCCTCACCAAAACGTGAAATTGGGATGGAAGGGATCAAGACTGTTGGGAGTGTCTTTGGCCTGTTGGTCAGGGAAACCAAAAGGAACACCGAAGCCATTTTCAGGGGGTCCCCTGAAAACCCTGTATGCTCTGACTCGTGATTCTGTGCTTGTAACTTGTTTGCCTTTGGCTCACTTGCCCAAAGCGAATCCACCTTTTTAATCTCCTTCTTTCCCTCAGCGGGCCCATATTTAGTCAAGGTTCCAAAAGCTTAACCTTATTTCCCATCTCCTTTGGGCAAGTGAATTGGCCTTCCTGCCAATCCCTGAGGCATTTGCCATCATAGCCTCCACACAGGCCAGCGCTGAGTCGACATAATTTCTGCTGGAGGCTGACATGGGCGTGGCTTAAGATCAGAGAGCTGGGGCTGCGCAGGCTTCAAGCCATTCAGGAAACAAACGAAGAACAAATTGCAGTCCCTTGGAAAGCAGCGGGGGCAGGATGGCAGAATTTAAGGGGACTGTCAGAATTTGGATCCGCCTCGCTGATCGTCCGTGGGTGTGTACTAGATGGACACACGCACACACATATATATATATATATATATGTACATACATTCTGCAAATACTGATGCTCCTTGTTCCAACCTGAAGCGTGTTGCATGCCTGCGCACATATGAACTTTGTTTGTGAATGCTTGGGAATGCCGACCCGATCCCCGATCAACACCTGTTCCAGATTCAGAGGCAGGTGTTTCCCCTTGAAGATGGGTCGCATCTCAGAATTCATCAACCAGAGGTTTATAATGCATACCAGCTACACACAACAGGGATAGTGTGATTACTTGGCGTTGGGTTTAATGGTAGTTTCCATTTAGCCCGCCAAAAGTTAGACTTTTAGCAGGGGGATCCGAAAATGGACAGCCCGGATTATAATTCCGTATGAGGCGAGGTTCAATCCTGGGCTGTAGTGCAACATGGATGGCGCCAGCCCAAGGTCCAGTTGAGAGCTCAGAAGGGCCTCGGAAGCAAGGGGCTCTGACCCATCTTTCTTAGATGCGTTTGATCCCAGGATTCCTTTGTGAAGGCTTGACCAAAGCACCACCAGGAGGAACCCTTGAGAATGGGTGGTTTTCTTGGTTTCCCCTTTTCCCGGCCCCATGTCCGGGTACCCTGAAATTGGATTGTGTTCTGAAAAAGTTAGTTTCAACAGGAACCTACCACTGCCCTAAGCAAATGGAGGTTCCCCAGCCGACGGGGGTCGACGACGGGGGGGTTAGCGGTTGTGTTCCATGGCCAGGCGCTGCTCTACTGGGAGACAATCCATTGGCCATGGTCCAGGCTGAAGGTCTGCACCAAGAAGCTGTCCGCCATGTGGGCGCCTTGAGTTACAAGATTCAGTTTTTGTCCCGCGGAGTGAGAAGGTCAGGTGGAAGGGAGCGAGCCGGGCCGTGAAGGAGCTGGGGGTCTACCAATTGTAAGTGGGATCTCAGGAGCTGCCGATCGGAGTTCTGGTTGGGGACGTGGTAGGTGGCTTCAGGTGCATGGCCTAAGTTCGAGATGTTGTGGATTAGCTCGAGCTACTCACGGGCATCATGAATACTACGTACAGTTTGCAACAAGTTTTACCAAGCTAGCATTGTACTAAGTCAACTTGCAGTATCCTTGCACGATTGTGTGCTTGTTTGTGTGTAGTATGTGTGTGCGTGTGCACGAGTGTGTTTATGTGCATGGGTAAAAACTGTGCGCCAACAATGTGGTGAATCGTATTGGAGCTACATCGCTTCGCCATGCGGCCGCCCGTGTGTGATTCAAGAGTGATGAACACGGCGAAATGTGTTTTCGTGTTATAGGCTATATGGCGAAAAAGGCAGCCCACAGTCATGATTGTGTACTCGTACTAAATTCTCGAGGTTCACATGCTTAGAAGCCATAAGTAGAAGACCGGCAATATCACTGTCATTGCAATAGTACCTCACAGTAGCCTGTGATTAATAAACATGCCTTTCTGTGTTGCGAATGCTGATAGAATACAATATATATATATATATATACATGACATATGCTTTATAGTTGAACCGGCCCGTTAGTGGAAGACTCGCGAGTGTTCAAGCACCCTGACACAGGTGATTCTCTAATCTTGCAAGTGCCCGGCGAAGTGAGGAAAGCCCTGCAACATGATTCGTGGCTGCTTTTCCTTGGCATATGTATGGAAAGCAGCAAACAAAAGGCTTCAAACAGTCTTCCCAGCTTAGTCCTTTGGTCAAGTGACAATTTATAATTGAATTGAAAACTGTTCCTGTGTTGGATTAGAGCTTTTAATTTGGACAAATGTGCGAAAACGTTTGTTCCGGTGCTGGGGGGCCGTTTATTTGCTTACAACAGAGACGAAGAGGCAAACCCTGTTCGGTTTCTCCCGAGACAGGCTTTAGGCTTGGAGTCAGGCTTCTTGGGCTCAGCGTGCACAGTCCGTGACAGGCGCCATCCCTTCCTTTGACTACGCAGATGCTGTGCTACCCTTTCCCAGTTCCAGTAACAAGTAAGTAGTAACCTGGGTTTCTGAGCTTTGGGTTTTGCATGACGAATTCCCCCTCGTTACCAACAATAGTAGCTTGCCTGGAGGCACTGGTTTGGTATTGCTCCACAATGGCAACGTTTGCCTTGAAACCAGCTATTTGGCAAATTCAGAGCGAGGCATCTCTGTGCAATGCCACGCTGCACATTGCAAGCACGCAAGTTGACCTTTCAGCCATCATGAAATGCAGGATTGTTTGCCATGGCAGCTGAGCTACTGTGGATGTTGGCAAAATCCTGCACGACGTTGAAAGTTGAAAACATGGAAAGCCATTGTTTGTTGGTATTTACAGGGGAATCATCATTCCAGGGTTTCGTAGGTGGCGCAGGGTTTCGTCCATCCACATGACAATGATTTCCTTTGGGTGAAGTGAAACTATTTGAGTTTTCCAGATGCCACAAGGTGACCATGTTCGGGCAGTTCTTCTCAACTTGCTCAGGACCCGGCCTCGCTGGCGGCGAACAAGCTTCGGCCACTTGACCAAGAAGTTGCTCATCTTTTGGGGCCACGGTGTTGAAGTCAAGTTCCCTTGGCTGAAAGTGTGGAAGCAACCCCCGAGCATCTTCTCATCGGTAGAAGTCACGGAAATCGGAGTATTGGTATCGGGGCAGCAGTTCCAGCCACGAACAGGTGCGGGCCGTCTGTAAGGCGTCACACGGTTTGGGGTTGCGGTAAAGAGCGATGCTTGCCCACATTTGAGCCGCACCAGTGATGGAAATTGCATGTGGCAGGGGGGGGGGGGCAGGCACATATTGTGAGTCAAGGATATCAATTCCACTGAAGGCAGAGTCCATACCGTGAAGATATAAGGCTAAGGTGCCAAGTTTTTGTGGACCTGCTGCGTGTTTCTTTCCCCACGCAACCTCTCGACCAACTGTTTGGGGCATCCGATCGGCTGAAGGTACCAGGACCTTCAGCGCCGCTGAGCTGAGTTCGGTGAGAGGACTTGGGGTCGCGGAGCCATGCAGAACTTTGGTGCATTTTGCCAAGGGATGTTAGGACTTTAACTTCTTGCCAACTAATGGGTTTTCCGTATTAAACCACTAAAAGTTAGTCACTTTTAGCAGGGGAGCAGAAAGCAACCGAGAGAATATGGGTCTCAAAATGCGGGGTACGTCCTGGTCCAGAGCATGTTGCTTTTAAAGGGACCTGGTCCCGAACATCAGGTTCCATGTTAATTAGTGGGAGGGTACATGGATTTAACTTTGCAAAGGGGCCAAGTTTTATGTCTTTGACTTATGCAAGGTTTGAGAAACAAGGGGTGGGGTGGGTGGGAAGGGGGGCACCGGGGAGTGGAGGGAATGTGTTGGCATTTGCAAGGACTGGTTTCTTGTGCTCCAGGTTGTCGCATGCTATAGCGCTTGTTCTTTTGACCGAGTGAGTCTTGTACGCATTGCTTTGCTGTGTCAAAGACAGGAGTTTGTTTTTGGTACCTCAGGATTGAGCTCATGAAGTCAGCCATTCAAGGCGCAAAGAGGGCACGGCCAAGGTCGCGAGGAGGTGCTGCAGAAGAAGTTCCTCGAGATTGTTGGCGACCGCAAAGTGGATGATTCTTGGCAAACCCAAACCAGCCCAACCCAGCCCCACCCGACCCGGCGTTTGAGTCCATTGATGGTTCTTTCAACTGGTACCGTCCAGTTTCCTTGAACTTTTCTGTAAAACTATCCGAAAGAGACTTTTTGTCGGAACTTGTGAATGATAATTGATTTGAGTTGCTCAATTCGGCCGGTCGCTCAGATGGGTTGACTTGGCGCAGTGATCACGACAGCAGGCATGGGGCAAGAGATCGATTGGATTCTGAGATAGCCTTGGGCACGTCTGGAGACTTGATCAGTCTGTGGACAGGATTCAATGTACTGGCCGTCGTGCACCGCAGCGCCTAGGACATGCCTTCCATCTCTCACTCAGGTTGGTTTTGGCGCGCTGCTACTCCAAAATCCTGATTCTGCAACACAACCTGATTTTCAGAGGAGAAACCTGGTTTTCAAAAAGCATCCGGAAAATACGGGTTCGTACTGCTTTTATGCGGTTTTTTGGACGGTTTTATTGTACGGGTTTCAGGAAGCAACACCAGGTTCTTCAACAGAAAACCAGGCTTTCGAGGACTAGCAGTTCCAAAACCCGGTTTTTGCTGCCCACTGCCACCTTTTTTTAGGTTCTTCGAGTAGCAGGATGGATAAGTCCTGGTGCCCCGCTGTCCGTGTCTCGGAACATGTGCACATTGAGCTGATAAATTTACAGGGAACCCATACCTAGAGACTCAAAAACCTGCAAATTTGTCGCGCCCTCTTGGAAACATTGTGTTGTTGGGGATCTGCCCCGAAAACATTGTGTTTCCCTGAAAAGCATTGTGTTTTCAGGACACTGGATACTTTTCAGTCCATTCCCGGGCTTTCCTTCGAAAGACAAGCCAGTGCAAACACAACTGCTTCTGTACAAAAATTCCTCGGCCGACCTCATTGTTTGAAGCCACCTCACAATCACAATCTGAAAAAGCCCTCCATTCTCCAATCCTTGAAGGAGCTAGCTAGGGGAGAACCCTTCAGATAACCTGAGTGGCCCAGCGTCAAGAGGGAAACAGAAACCTCACTGATAATTGTCGGTTGGTGGCCCCCGAACCCATATTTGTCCCACGTGTTACCAAGGGTTAGCCACGGGTTAGCCACGGGTTCCAAAAAACAACGTTTTCTGAAAATACGATGCTTTGGTGAAAAAGCACGGGTTGCCACGGGTATTACACCGGTTCTCTCCCCATTTCCTTCGAAAAGTATCGCGTAAGGGTCCGCAGAAAATGCTAGGTTGTTTTCCCCAAAACAAAGGTTACACATGCAACCCAATCCTCCAAACTCCCGTTGCAGGGCCTGCAGCACGGCATCTACTTTTCTTCTTGTGTTCCCTGTATAAATTGACATATGTGGCAATGGAGCATTCGCAGCACGATGTGCGGCTGCGGAAGCAAATAATTCGGACCTTCATTAGCAAATGTCCCGTCAAGTCCACGTCCACCCACCACTGAGGAGAACTCTCCGTGGTCAGAGCACGCCGAGCTTTTGCGAGCGCTTTTGAAAGGCCAGCGGCTCGTACGAATGTATGTTGGAAGTAGGAAGGAGTGGTGCGTCAAAAGCAGGGACCTCTTCAAACGGTCGCTTTCATTCATTGAGCGGAGACCAAGCAGGTTTTGATGCAGCCAATCCACTGGCCAAGTGATTCTATTCTCTGATGAGGATATGCCACTTGATGACTGGCTTGGGTCAACCTGTGCAGGCCGCAAGGTGGCCAGCAAGTATCAAAGTAGAAGTGTTATTTCCAGTTGAGTCCAACAAAAGCTATTCTAACCTCTTGCGATTGTTATCTGAGACACGATGGGTTTTACTCATTCCGGTGTGCTTGTGGAAACTACAGAACCAAGAAGCGTGACTACGATAAATCGTATCTAATCAGGTTCGCTCTGGAGGAATCATTTGGCTATGGTCATGTTGGTGCCATTTCAAACGGAGGCCCCTGATTGCTCTTAGGTCCTTTTCAAACGCTACCCCCCCCCCCCCCAAAAAAAAAAAAAAAAGAAACGAAAAGAAAGGACAAACAAAGTTGTGGTTAGCAATATGTTATTCCTGCTGGATCTTTGGAAATAATGGCCATGTTGCTGATTCCGTCATTTTGTTGCTCTTGTACATTCAGTGACAGAGTGAAATTGCCTTTATATGTACATTGGCACTGTATGCCCACATGCATATTCCACGGTACTCCGATTTCCCATACAATTATATATGCACGAATACGCATGTGGCACACACACACACACCCACACACACCCACACACACACACACACGTGTCATCATGTGTCGCATTGCTTGGCATCAAACACATGGCAGTTGGGGGAAGGTAGAACTATCTGCAAGTCCTTGCCAGGCGGCTATTTGAGCCTCGAGAGCATCACTCGCCGCCAAAGCCTCGGTATGGATGGGGTGTGGATGGGTGGGGGTGCGGGTGGGGGTGGCGGTGGCGGTGGGGGTGGGGGTGGGGGTGGGGTTGGGTGGGGTGGGGTGGGGTGGGGTGGGGTGGGGTGGGTAGCATGGGGGGTCACAACCACAAAGCATGAATATCATTGCAGGCTATTGCAGGCTGAAGCCTTTTTTACTCGAACCACATTCTGGTCTTCCAGTATCATCCTTACACTATAGTCAGACTCTGGCAAGCGAACCTCACGCAGGCAAGTCCTTATCCAAATGCAGGCAGTTTTGACCCGGATCTGAAATGTGCGGTTGAAAGATGGGTGGTGTTCCTTTTATCCCTTTATCACAGCCCCAAACAGCAGGTTTTGGTGGGATGCTGTGAGTCATTGCGTCGTGTTTGTGCCTCTTGGGCGCACCAAGAGCATCTGAAAGCACGCGAGTTGCAGCTTGCAGGGGATAGACACCATGCGGGGCAGGGGGCTGGTGGACGGGCGCTTTGCGTGGAAAGGTGGAGGGCACAAGGATTGACCACCATGGATTGTGATGAAGGACACTGGAGGGGCCATTGCCATATAGAACACACCATGCCAAACATAGCAATGCCCAAATCGGCGCACTTGCCTTGCTTGTTTGGCAGCGTCCTTTTCCCCTCAACGTCCCTTGAGCGACGCTGGCCGTCTTGTGTCGTTTGCCAAACGCTGGCCAGCTCACGTTTTTGGTTTTTTTTCCCGGTGTGTTTAAGGGTCGCCGGGTCCCACTTGATACCTTGGGTTGATGGTTTGGGGAATTCACCCCCCCCCCGCCCCCCGGTTCAGGAGAACTGGGAAAACACCGCTTCATGTTGAGCCCATCTAATCAACCCCAGTTGAATAATACGGGGTGTCCCTGGGTTTTAGTGGGGATTCGCCACTTTTGAGGAAACCACCCCCTACGAATAAACTGGGGGTGAGTAATTCTGTGGATGGACGAAATTCTTCACCACCCAAGAAACTCTGGGATGATGATTCCCAAGGAAATACCAACAACCCAGTGGTTTCAACCATGGTTTCAAAGTGGTGCGACTTGGATGTCGTCAACCCCAAGAATTAATCAACCCCAGTTTATGAATAGGGGGTGTTTCCCTCAAAAGTGGTGAATCTCCACTCAACCCAGAGACACCCCCTATTAATCCACTGGGGTTGATTTATATGGGGTCAACAACAACCTGCAAGGGCAGCTGACAAAATTACAGGCGACGGCATGCTGGACTTCTTTGCGAGCCACCGCGTCCTGGCACATCAGGACATTGCATGGATGGCATGGCATGGGTTGCCTTTGCCAACCAATGTGTTTGCCGTTAAACCACTAAAAGTTAGTCACTTTTAGCAGGGGAGCAGAAAGCAACCGAGTCTAAATAGCGGCACCTGGAGCGGCGCCAGGCTCCTGTTGGACGACTTTTCTGTTTGATAAATAATTCTGAAAAGGCTAATATCTGACACACACAAACACAGTCACATACATGTTTGTTGCTGTACATGCAAGGCTTTATCTTTGACACATGGATATGCGATGTATACATGTAAACATACATGTTCATACTATATACATGCATATTGCTTCTTTCACTTCCTGTCACGCTTTCTGCTGCGCCTGGTTCGATCCCCATCAAACTAGTGGCTGATGCCATGTAATAGTCCAGCAAGCGGGGGAGGGAGGGCAAGCTGGACGCAGCCAGCTCCTGAGGCTTCCATGAATCCGAAAGATGTTGACTCTAAGACGGCTTCTTGTTCTGCAAATGTGTCCAGTGATTACTGCAACGGACAGCTGAGGTCAGCATGTGCAGAACGTTAGGTTTCAGTACGGTGGAACACTGGCCCTAGAATTTTTCATATTAGCGACTGCCATTGCCTTTATTAACAGAAGACTGCAGGAAAGGCAGGTCGGCGGAAGCAATGTTTGGATAGCATGCTGTCTTAGGTGCAGAACTCGGCAGGGAACAAATGTCTCAGCGTCAGGTTGGCCCCTCGTTGCTTGATAGCCAGCAAATGGGCAACCCCTATTATGTTTCCCGGCAAGAGATGGAACGGGCAGCGATAGTTTCAATAGTTTGGGACATTAGCTGATATGTCGACCCTACGTGACAAGTCACAGCGCTGCATATCTGCGTATGTGTGAGACAGTCGGTTGCTTCAAGAGACAGCAGACGAGGCAAGGGCATTGATATTGCATTGATAGGGAATTGATAGGGCTGTGCCTCCAGTGCTCCTTTGGACCGACACGAGAGTAGGGTGAAATCAATATTCGCCGCCGCCGCTAGCAATGGAATCGGCCAATGTTCCTCGTATTTGCTCTTTGGAATGTCCATGCTCGTTGCTATTGTCATGTTTGGTATGTTATTGTCATTGTTGGCAACGAAGCAAAGGAAGGGGTTTCATTTGTTTGACAACATTTCGCTCTGAGGATCCACAGTCACCATTGGAAGACGTCAGAGTCGCATACCTGTTTCAGCGCAGGAGTGCCTCTCCTGCTGTTTGGGCATTCGCATGACGGTGCCCTGGCTGTGTTGGCGATTAGTACCTTTGAAATTAGTTCACAGGGAGTTTATTGCCTGGGTCCACAACATTGCACGAACAGGGGACAACACCGCATTCCCATGCAAGATGCTGCTTTGTGTCTTGTTGCGTGTCAAACATTAGTTTCATAGAACTGACCTCCAAGCTATGTTCTTCACGCGCACACAGAGCCATTCTAAACACGTGTAAAGTGTATATAGATATGGACATGTCTGTATGTATATATATATATACACACACACACACACGCATGCACGCCTTTGTGTTGGGAGACGGTGATGACTTTGGTATTGGGCTTGCTCAAGTTGTCGTGTTGGGGGGGTCAGCATGCCAGGTGAGACTCCATGCTTCACAAAATGGGGTTCAAATTATGGTGTTTGATTGAGCAGACTGCCTTCTAAGCAGCAAATCGGAGAAGTTGACCTGATGAACAATGTAGCATGCTGAGTGCTGCTTAGTGGAAACATGCACACTGATATTATTTTTTGGGATATGTTGCCATCAAGTCGCCTGAGTGACCTTTGCACAAGTGTTGAGAACTGTATAGTGGGATATTCGGGCTGACAGCTACGAATGTGCCTCTGCCAACAACATCCCCCTTGATTTACGACGGGTATCGTTCAAGCCTCGATCTTGTTGCCGCGATTCGCAGAATTTGCGGCGTGCTAGGGGTGTCGATAGTTGCTTCGCTAGGATCCCTGACGCGCAATCAGGTTGATTGTGCGCTCGAGAAATCAGATAGACATTTTTGACAACTTCGGTGACTCCCGTCAGGTTCACTACAACCTCTTTTGCGGTACAGTGCTCGCCCTCGGAGATGAGCATCAACGCCGTGCCTTGCGTTCACATATGGGGCAAGTTCTGTCAGCGATCAGATGCACCTCTTTGAAGGATGTTGAAACGGTTCGGTCCGCCCAAACCTTTGAGGCAAATCGCAGAGGCTCGAGTCGAGGGAGGGTGCGGCAATCATCTCAGACGAGCGCTCTCTTCAAAATGTTTGTTTGTCCCTGGACCGCTTTGTTCACAAAGGGAGTGGCGTCCATCTCCTTGTGGGCCAGTTTTGATTAGTCTTCTCTCTGGTTGGGGTGGTGTTACTGGATACTTAAAGGGGACATGTTGAGCTTAATGTTTGAAGCACACACACACACACAAAATTGGAACATAGACATACATACATATACATATATATAGTATATAAACACATATACATATATGTCTATTTTGTTTGCTATGTGTGTTTTTGACCGTACCCTATTTGCCTTGTTCTAAAGTCAAACCAACAGGACAAATGCCAGTTAATCTTCTGTGAATCCCGATTTTGACACATACCCGCATATTTCTACACGAATACATCTGGATATAATGAATACCAACATGTAAGAATGTATGTATACACAGCTTCCCCCTCATTGGTGGGTTGTGGGTTTGAACCTCTGTTCTTGCGGGGTAAATGGAGGTTGCCACCTCCGGACCTCCAAACCACCAGGCTCCACACCACAGGTGTGTCTCTTTTTTAGGGAACCACAAAAAAAGCATGTGTTTCCTTTTTTTCTCCCTTGCAAGAAAAACACCAAACAGGGTATGTCCCATTAAAAAGCGACACCCCCTTATGTATACACATTTAGTAGCTGGCTGGGCGGCTGTTCCTGGTGCCCGGGTTCAGCACCTCAGGTTGGCTCCATGAGTCCCAGACTCGCGGGGAGCTGGGCTGCTTCATGCTGACCGAGAGTGGCGCAGGCGGGGCGACGGAGCGGCGGGGCGGGGCTTTGCTGATTGGGAGGTTTTTGCATTGGGTGTGCGGTAGTGGTTTTGGGCGGCGACCCGAAAAAGGGCCTTGGTTTGAAAGGGAAGCCAAAGGGCCACCGCGGAGTCTTTTCTTTTCCTTTCCTGCTTTTTTTGAAAGGGGGGGGAGTCCCACAAAAAGCACAGAGCCATATTTCCATTTTCGGGTTTTTTGCATGGTTGCCAGTTTAGGTGAGTTTTCTCTTGGAAGGGTGATGTAGGAGGACATTGAGGGAAAACAAGCCGTCTGATGGGCGAAGTGTGCCGCAACTGTTTGGGCCATGGGCTTTAGAATGAAAGGCAGCCAACCAGAACTCAGCGCTTCTCTCCGGGAAAGCAAGCTTACCCACAAAGCGCCCTTTTAGTAATTAGGGGGTCCCTTGTTTGCGGTTTGTGAATTATAGTCCCAGATCTTTGAGTGGACGCTTTTCGACCTGGGAGATCTTGCCCATAGCCATGTTCAGATCTTGAACGTTAAGTCATGGCTTCGTCCAGTTTCAAGATGGTCACCCCAACAAGCACTTACACGTGAAGCAACGAGCTTTGTTTGATGGGTATACATAATACTGGTTGTAGGATTGGGCGGATGCGCTTGGTAGGTCGACACCATCAGGACAACCATCCTGACATTGCCAATGTCTCCCTTTGCGGTTATCGATGCGCAGCCGGCTCTCAGAATCTCAGAAACCAGGCTACCAATCATGAAGCTCTTTCTGCCAGGTCAGAGGAAGGTAGGTGAAGGCGCAATGCGAAGCTTCTCAAGGCGGCAGTTGAGGTAGCCTGTTGGAGGTTCCTTCAAAAAGAAGTTTGGGGCAAACGCTCATTCGAATCGCTTTGAATATTGACACCCTTTGCCATGGAACTTCAGACCTCCAGCACCCACGGGAACCAAGCCGTCGCAGGGGTACTCAGCGGCTTGGTGGTGGAGACCACTGCAACCTTCCACGCAGATGGCCAAGGTTGCCGCTTGGTCCCGGAAAGTACGCGTGGTTGCCCCAAAAAAATGATGATGGATGGTTGGATTGTCCAAACTTGTTGTTGCACGTCACAAGGAAGATAGCCGGGAAAATAGTGTCTAAATTGTTGGCATGCCGATTGTTTTTGTCTGCACATGGCCTTGGGGCTTGCGTGAGCATGGCATCTGAGGTTGTGGCTTGTAGACCCTGCAGGACTCATTAACGTATTCTTTCATGCGTGTAACGCATCTTGCATACGGCACTTGATGTGGCACTTGCAATAATCAATAAGCGACGCCACTTGACCCCTGAAAATGGATACCTGGAGTCTCCTTTTGACCCTTTCAAGCAATCGGGATTTCCACTACCCTTTTCTTCTGGGTAAGGACCCCATGTTTGATTCGGGTCATGGAGACTCCAGGTAGTTCGTGAGATCTTTTCTCAGCACTCAGGCTGGTTTGACCTTCACACGCCTACACCTGCGGCTGAGAAGACCTGGACTGAGCGATCGGTTTGACTCGAAAAGGGGATGTTTGTTTGTGTGTGTCTGTGTTTGTGTCTGTGTCTGTGTCTGTGTCTGTGTCTGTGTCTGTGTCTGTGTGTGCGTGTGTGTGTTTTCCCCGTGGTTCCGACAAGGGTTCCGGGGATGCACAGGGCGGTTCCGAGAAGGGTTTCAGGGTTCCAAGAATTGTTCCGGGGAAGCGCGGGGGCAATTCCGAGTTCTGTGGATGCCCGTTGCTTTACATCTTCCGCAAAAGTTCAAATGAGCGATCTTGGAGGTATACTCGCCCAAGTGCAAATCTCCTGAAAGAGTCGAACTTACTTGAGGTGTAACATCAACAACGCCCAAACTCTCTAAACGCCAGAGATATGTTGATGTTGATGGTCATTGCCATGGGTCGAGTTTAACGTAGTTTGGGGAAGGCAGCTCAATCAACGCCCCAAGTCAGGCGAGAGTAAACTTGCTCACATTGAGTCCACGTCGAAAGGCTTCGGTGCCGAGCCAAAATCGACTCTTTTAGCCTTCTGGTTTTCCCATGTTGGTCCACTTTTTAGTTCTTTCAGTCCTGGGTCCCTTGGGCAAGTGAGAAAGCCAAACCATGAGGTGCTCTCGGCACTAATGTTGACCCCAGATTCATCAACCCAAGTTTTGTAATTGGGGGTGTCCCTGGTTTTAGTCGGGAATCATCACTTCTGGAGGGGACCATCCCCATATGAATAAGCCAGGGTTGATTCATCCGGGGATAGGCTCAAAGTCTTGGCAGGATCTCCCAGGGTCTGGCGGCGGAGTGGGGCGTGGTAGTGGCAGATCTGGTGGTGGAGGAAAAGCACCTGGGGCCCCACGTCTTCATTTTGGCGCCCTGGCCACCCAGGGGTGGGTTCTGAGGGAGGCTGCCCACAGTGCAGAGCCCCAGAAGGCTTCTTGGGGTTTGCGGTGGGAGGGTGGGTGGGTGGGGATGTTTTAAGCAGGAAATAGGGGTGGGGTTGCTCTCACTTGGTGGGATTTGGAAGGACTACACATGAAAGTCATGAAAGGAAATGAGATGTCAGAAAGGGAGGCAGGTACTTGCTGATGTTCCTCTTTCCCTTGGTGGATTGCCAGGGGAACTCTTAAGATTTGGGGCAGATCTGGCACAACTTTGGGGCGAACAGCGGCAGCAACCCGGCAGCGTCAGTGAAAGTGCGTTGTACCAACGACCAAGCAGGTGCTGGAAAGGCCTCCGTGCCCTTTGCTCACGTCAAAACAGGGCAAGCCCGCTTGGATATACAGAAGAGTTGGCAAGTCGGTAGTAACCCAGTACAGCGAATTCCAGGTCACATGTCACGAATAGTAGCGTCTTTCACTCGTGATCTGTTGATCTTTTAGATTCCAATGTTGGTCTATTTTCAGTGAAGGTTCCAAGAGGTTTGCCTCCAATTTTCAGGCCCCTTTGGACCGTTGAGGTCAACCCTCGAAAAATCGGTGAGTCAGCACTCCAAGGACATGCGAACGCCGGGCGTGCATCGCGAGAGCATGGGAGAGAAGACCAGCTTTAACGCTTTGGACAACGCCAAAGTGCCACTCCGCTGAAGATCTGGCCATGTTACTTTCCTTTCTGTGTTCTTCTGAAATGGCCCCCTAGGCCCTAGGGTTCCCTGCCCCATTAAAAGAATGGCAAGGACCCAATTTGGATGATGACAATCCTGAATGGTAAACAATGGGGGTGACATGAAGCCCTTCGTTCTAATGGTGGGCACTGAATCCTACGGCAGGGGTTGTTTCAAGCTTATGATTCTTTTTCTCAATTGGCTCCCGGTTTGGGTTGAAGGGAAAAGGGAGACCGAGCCCCATTTCTGAGGTTCCAGTTGGAAGCAAATTCGTGTGAATCTAGGGGAACATGAAGCTTGTTTGTGACAAACAAACCAGGAGATGTTGAGGTCTCAGACAAGGTTTCACACAAGTTTTCAGAGAAGGTCTCAAACGTGGTGGCGACATCATGGATGCTGTACCGATGGAAGTTGGACTATAGACGTGTTCATTTCTCCGAGGTCCTTCGACCATGTGCAGCTGCCAGCCACCGCATTGCTTTCCAAGCTTTGCCGCGTCCACGCGCGTTCGACAGCTGATGGCTTCAAGGCAGAGTACTCCTTTACAGGCCCGGCGATGAGATGCCGGGCTTTGGTCCATGGCAATGTTGTCCTTGAAACGCGCCGCTTTCTTGCTTTCTTGATTGCCAGGGCCTTGTCGGGTTGATATGGATTGAGCCTGTTGAATTTGGTGATGGCCACATTGCCGAGCTGCCTGCCTTTCGAACTTGAGGCTGAGGTTACCTTGTGAGGTGTTCAGTTTCGATTGCGTGTCAGAACGCTTGGGGCGCTTTCCGAATGGCCGCTGCGGCTTCCGTTAACTCTTCGTGCTGCACACATCTCAATACCGGGTCTTTGCATTCTGAGTCATGGGCCATCCGGAGGTCTGGGAGGAGCCTTTGCTTGTCCATGGGATAAGAAGATAATGTTGGCTCAAGCAAGTGGCCTGATGGATCACATAACCACAACAGAACTTAATAAGCACAACAAAGTGTCAGGAAATAGTGGTCTCCTGGTCAGTGAATGGCTGGACTGCAGTCACATGCAGCCAAACAGTGAAGCGTCCTTTCATGTTAAGCTCCCTTTGAGAGGGAACTTGTCTGCATCATGGAACATGTTCCTTCAAACGGGAGCTTTCCCTCGCTCCACGTTCGTGGACGCGAGGGTGCATCGCATGGGTTTGCCTCAAAATGAAGGGCTCCCAAGTGCCCGATTCGCTCCTGGTTTCCTTTGAAACCAAAGTGGTGACAGCGGTGAAACAGACACAAGCATCTGTTGTCCAGACATCACGAGTGCACCCTCGCAACTCGTTTAAGCTGGTGCTTTGTATTCCAAAAGTTACGTGGCAATCTTAGTCCTACAGTTTCATATGGGCATGAGTCAATATTCGACTACCAAGGGACCGCAGGTTTTAGTCTATGTTTCCATTTAACAGGGTTCTAATTTGGGTACCTATATTTGACCCACAGCCATATGGACACGTGATGGAGTGCTTTGGGCTTGGCCATGCAGGCAAAAAGCCGCCCTCGTTTGTGCAGATTGCTCAGCGACTGCTGTCCGGGCGGCTGTGCATCTCTGACTCGGACGCTGGGCTTTAATAGACACGTATTTTTCTTTGTTTATTTGTTTTAGAGTATGCGTGTACACAAATATTGTACATATATATATATGACAGGTACATGCAACGAGTGCGTTTGTGGCATTTGCCTGTCCAGCAAGGCGTGTTAAGTGACACCTGTCCGGGCTTATTTGCGGGAGATGTCCAGTGCTTCGCGCTGTGATGAGAGCCCAGCCACTTGGGTTTGTGTTTGTGTTTGCAATCAGCTCCCCAACTTCTGGCCAATTCCCTGCCTACACCCACCCAAACCCCTTCGCCATTCAAAATCGACATCTCAAGGCACTACGCGAATCAAGGGATCCCAACAAAGCAACTTTCAGTGAGAACCATTTGCAGCCCTTTCCCCGACGTTGGTCGTATGTTTTCCCGAGATCTCCAGGCCAGGCAAGGGTTGCTTGCCTGCCTGCCTGCCTGCCTGCCTGCCTGCTTGTGTTATGTATGTTGGCATGCTGCGTGTTGGTCACTTGATACAGATCGGCCGAGCTTGTTGGCACGAGAGGTTTGCCCACAATATGAACCAGAGAGAATGATTGAGGGCAATTGTTGGTGTGTGGTTTTTTGACGGTCCCAGGGTACCTTTTTCTTGGTGGTTTCATAGGAACACCAGACCATGACCCGTTTGTGCGTTCGGGGAGGGGAAGAGGAGGTGCCGTTTGTGGAGCCTAGGCCATTGCTTACCTGGAAGGCGTGTTGCATGTCACCCGGAAGTACACCGAGAGCCGCTTCGTGTGGGTAGACAAGGACGATCACTGGGACATGTGACATGGATGGGATTTCCATCTGAAGCAAGGCCATGAAGCGCGTTGTTTCTTTTAGAACCATTGTAAGGGTGCTGATGAATGGAATCAATGGTCCGTTTTTTATACTTGGTAAGGTCTGCGAGTGAGAGACAGAGTTGGCATAGTTGGCATGTGGGTCCCTGGCTATGGCCATGCACCTTCGGTCAACCGGAGCTAAATCAAGGCCAAAACAGCCGGGTCAGCCTTTGAATGCTTTCAGGCTTTGCGCCGGTCGGAGCCTTCATCAACAGTCCGCGTGTGCAGTTTTCCCAAACGCGGCTTGAGTTTGGAGTTTGCCGCAGCTGACATGTTCAGGGAAGCCCTTGAAGGTTGCGGGATTGTTTGTAAGCCTTTGAAGGGGAATATGTCAACATTTCATCAGCTTCCCATTCGCAAGGCGTTTGATCCCATCCGTAGGCCACCAAAGCCCAACAGCCGAACATGCCTTCCACGCTTCGGCATTTCGATGGTTAGAGCCGGTGGCATATGCAAGATCAGACCCTTCCTGTTGAGCAGTCTGAGCAAACGGGATGTCTCCATGTCAATTTCAATGCTGTGTGCATTTGCCGCCCGGCGGGTTACAAACCCAAGCCTAGTCGAGCAGATTAGTCCCACGCCTTTTTGAGGAGCGCAAGATGCCGCTCGCAGAGCTTCCCTACATGAGCAAGGTCCTGCGGAGTGTGGAGGCGTCGCATCCGGTGAGATTTGCCTCCGTTCGACTGATGTGTTTTGTGTGAGATATGTGTTTCGTTTCTCGCAGCGTAGTATTGTGTAGTCTGTGTTTGGTTTGGTTTTGGTGTGTTTGTTTGGCTGGCTTGCTGGCTGGCTGGCTGGCTGGCTGGCTGGCTGGCTGGCTGGCTGGCTGGCTGGCTGGTTGGTTGGTTGGTTGGTTGGTTGGTTGGTTGTGTGTGTGTGTGTGTTTGTTTGGTTGGTTGGTTGTTTGTTTGTTTACTTGTGTGCGTGTGTGTGTTTGTTTGTTTGTTTGTTTGTTTGCTTGCTTGCTTGCTTGTTTGTTTTTTTGCTTGTTTTTGTTTTTTTGTTGTTTTTTTGTTTGCTTGCTTGCTTGTTTGTTTGTTTGTTTGTTTGTTTGCTTGTGTGTTTGTTTGGTTGGCTGGCTGGTTGGTTGGTTGGTTGGTTGGCTGGTTGGTTGGTTGGCTGGCTGGTTGGTTGTTTGTTTGTGTGTGTGTTTGTTTGGTTGGTTGGTTGGTTGGTTGGCTGGTTGGTTTTCTGGTTCGTTGGCTGGCTGGTTGGTTGGTTGGTTGTTTCTGTGTGTTTGTTTGTTTGTTTGTTTGCTTGTGCGCGTGTGTGTTTGTTTGCTTGCTTGTTTGTTTGTTTGCTTGCTTGCTTGCTTGCTTGCTTGTTTGTTTGTTTATTTGTTTGTTTGTTTGTGTGCTTTGTTTTTGTTGTTGTGTTTTGTTCGGTTGGACTGTCTTCGTTTATTTTGTATGTTTGTCTGTGTTTGTCGCGTTTGGTTGCTTGTTGTGTATTGGTCCATGTGATTGTTTGTGTGTCGTGTCCTCTCGTGGCGTGTCGTGTCGTGTAGTGTCGTGTCGTCTCGTGCCGTGCCGTGTCGTGTCGTGTCATGTTGTGTTGTGTTGTTGTGTTGTGATACGTTGTGGTGTGTCGATTGGTCTAATGGTTTAAGTGTTTGTGGTCGTTTGTTTTCGTTTTTTGTATGTTTGTTTGTGTGTGAATGTGTTTGTTTGTAACGGTGTCTTTTGCGGGTGCCTTGGATCCAGCGCGAATTCGCCAGGTGGGCCTCAACGTGCACAAGGCGCTTCGAAATCGCCTTGTTTTTGGGCAGGTGGGATGCAGAAGAGTCACTACTTCGAGCCATGTGAGGGTTGCGATGTAAGATGCGACCCTTTTCGGGTCCAGTGTTTGAACACCTGTCTGTGTCAATCCAAATTTGGATCCATGTTGCACGGGCAAAAGCACTATTTGAAGTGGAGAAAGCATTCAGGAAGCCTCACAAGCATTTACACAACGCCCGCTTTCTGCAGGCCTTCCTGTTGCTGCTGCAGCAGGAATTCGCCCAGGCAGGATAGGGCTGGCAAGTTCTGTCATGTTGTCTCTGCACGGGGGAACCCCACAAAATGGTGGTCTTCCTTTGCTTTTTTTTAGAGCAACCCGACAAGGGTTCCTCAAAGAAAAAGGCACGTTGTAGCTTGATGAGCTGACAGCATTGAGGGCAAGCATAATCCCTTAGCAGGGTCAGTTTCTCGATTCAGCTCGTTTGGCGACCGGGAGGAGCGATTTTCATTGTTGGTGCTGCTCTTCCGAGCATGTAAAGCTGATGCCATGCGATGTCCTCAGGTGAGCCATAATCAAAACCCGGGTAGATGAAGGTTAGTAAGGGACAATCCCAACCATAAATAGCTGCGGCCGCCTTCTTAATTCTTTACATAGTTCGGGGTAGACCATTTGATTACTTGTTTTGATTATGACACAGGTCAATTAATGTGCAGGTGTGCATTGTTCCATCCCCCGATACCCTTCTTTCAATCTCAACCTGGGGTCGTCTCAAAATGAGGGGAGCTCGAAAATTGACTGTTTTCATTTTGGTTCCCAAACAAACCTCACTTGTTTTATAGCTGGCCTTTTGAACTTTTGGTTTTCCTGTTTTGGTCAATTTTTAGTGGCCCCAAAAAGGCGATCATCTTTTATTGTCTTTAAGGGGCAGCTGAGAAACAGCCCAAAAGAGTACCAACCATAAACAAATGGCAACCGACCTGCTCCAAGAACCGGGGAACAAACGAGAAAAATACGCAGGCCATGGAGTCGGGAGACGAGCTGCCGCGGGCCTTGGTGACGCGCATTGCGGCTGCCAAGGCCCAAGCCGCACATCGGAGTCGGACCGGGACCCCCTCGGTTTTGCCGTCGGGTTTTTGATATGAGAAAACGCGGCAGCAGGAAGCAACAGAAAACCTGCCAGCCTTGCGCCGAGGAAAACAAAGCTTACCTCAAGACAACTGAACTCCGGGCTTTTCTTAGACCAAAAATTGGAGGAAGCACCTATTTGCAGTCAGCCGAAATGACCTTGTTCCAAAATTGGCAAGGGGGGGGGGAATGGATGGCTTCCTGTTGGGTTTCTGAATATTACGTACATGTAGGAGTTTCCGCGAGTAAGCATCAAGGCGAAGTTGGAAGGGGCTTGCCAAGGTTCGGTAAGGGTTTAGTGTTCAATCGAACAAAGAAGGTTGTCAACCCTTCAGGGGGGTCTTTTGACCCAGCTACCCCGAGTCATTGGGTTCATGCAACTCCAAATTTGGCCGAACGCAGGCGACCCGTCGGTAGGTCCCTTTGTTCGTGCCGCTTCTTGGTTGGTCGCCAAATTTAGAGGGCTCCTCCAAACTCGGCGCTCCCCCTTTGATTTCCTTACACATCCCCTTCGGATTTCACAATCCGATGCTGAACCATCAGAATGCAACCACATAAGCTTCCGACTACGGTTCGAGTCCACGGAACAAGGAACGATCTTTCGCTCGGTTGCACCAAGATCAGTGGTTGTTAAAAGGTTAGTTTTGTGAAATCCGTATTGCCTTGTTTTTGACCGGCCTCAATGGAAAACATGTCTCAGTCTGAACCGATCTCGAATGATTTGATCTTGGAACTTTCTGCAGCTTTGAGATCAACGGCGTACGGCGTTCGAGGCCAGCAAGAGCCGGGCTTGGGCGCAGAACGAGGAGAACAACCTGCGTCATTCCACCTGACATTTCCAAAGCCGGCGTGAGCAAAGTGGGTTTCTTGCGCTCTTTGCCCCTAGTACTGCATCTTCAATGGCGCATGATTTTGCTCAGCTTTGCTCATCTTTGGCCATTCCTAGACATTTCCCACACATCGATTTCTAAGCGGATAGCAAGCGTATGGTGTATGTCAAGCTTTCTATCTCTTTTGTTCCTGTTGGCAGGTGAACTTGTGTTTCTTTCGTTGGGCATGAGGTGAGTCACAATGAAAACTCGGGTAAGATAAGGTTAGTAAGGGACAGTCCCAACCATGAATAGTTGCGGCCGCCTTCTTGCTTCTTTACATCGTGTTGCGTGGACGTATTCTAATACCCGATTTGCTTGTGACTCATTTGTGGGTTAGACGTGTTGCAGCCTTTTGAAGCTGGAGTTTGCCTCCGACCCAGCTTTTTCACGGGGAACCCTTCTGTTTTTCAATAATAGACCACAGAGCCTTCCACGGTGCTTTGAGGGGGAGCAAACCCAAATATGCAGGCGACCCGCCGCGCACCGCGAGGGGGAGGAGTTGTTTTCTTGTGTTCGGGTTTCTGTTTGGGGTGAACTTGAAACCCACCCTTTCGGGGGTCAGAAAGTCCACTGTGTTTTTTTCTCCTTTTTTGGGGTTCCCTTTGTTTTTCACTATCGGGCAAAACATTATTTTTTTTGCTGGGGTCCTAATTCCAGCCAAGAACCGCCTAGAGTCCGACTCAGCCAGGTGGAGGCGGTTGAATTTGCCATCAAGTCGCTGGCGCTCCTGCGCAGGGACGCCACCTGGGCTGCAAAATCAGAGCTGGGGGTGTCGTGTTTTGAGGGTACGCTTCCTCCAACTGACATGGCACATGTGGAGAGGTGCTTGGAAGAGCAAATTCCTTTTGAAGGGACCCCCTGTCAGTTGCCATGTGAGTGGGAGGGAGGGTACTCTTCCTGGGCATGCAGGGAATCCAAAAGGAAATTACTTTACCCAGTTGCCGGGTCCCCAATTCTAACACATACCTTGCCAGCATTGATGCAGGCAGTCGTTACCAGCTGTGACTACCAAGGTGGGAGAGATGAAAGGATTGTAAGTTGCGCAGCCAGCATGTGCTCACGGAACTCAGTAGGGTCGAGAAAAAAGACTTCAGCGACCCTGTGAAATAGCGGTGCCTGACCTGTGCAGTTCATGGACGCCAGCTTGTCCGCGGCGTAAGTTGTCAGACCACCTTCGGAGACCACACAAATGGCAAAAGGAAACCAAACTGAGCAAATTGGCCTGGTGTGTTTCGCTGCAATAAGAGGGGACAACGTTCGTCCCCTGACGTGGGGGACCCTATTTTTTAATATTGTCCCAATGGATGGATTGCCCTGTGGTGCAGCTTCGCTTTTGTAAAACCCTCAAGCTCTGACTTTCTTCAGGGACCCGGCCGGAAGGGCGGGGAACATGTCGAGACATAAGCAAGACACTTCACAGGTCGGTGCCTTCAGCCTCCTGGCCACCTCGCCCTTTGGCGCCAACAACGACATCCTGCTCTGCGACTTGGGCTATCGTCTTGCTGCGATAGGCAGGGAATGAGAATGGAATGACCCCTGACCATCCTCGTGATGGCTTCCTTCATTCGGGACAGGTTCATTCCCTTCGACTTGCCCCTGCAAGTCGTTTGGGGGTCTCTTCTTAAATCTGCAAAATGTAAGGCGAGCTCAGTATAACGAGCGAAAGCCATGACAAAGGCCCTTTAATTGGGGATCCAATTCTTAATTCAGCTTTTGGAACTAGAGTAAAAGTAGCAAATTTGCCGGGGTTCCAGCTCATATTCTTGCAATGACGCACGATACTTTGCGAGGCTTCTCTTGTGACTTACATTTGAACTGACACAATATTCACCAGAATCAAACATACTTTTTGAGGCAAAGGCGAAGGTGATCTGACAATGCAATGTGGAAATGACTAAACACCCAGTGTTCAAAATAGCTGTGGGTCAAACATGGGTACCCGAAATGGAACTCTGGTAAATGGAAACCTGCGGTTCCATGGTTTGATTTTGACCCATACCCAAATGACTATTTGAAGTGGACTTGTGGTCGTCATCTCTTTGGACGGGCATCTCCTTGTATTTGCGATCCATTGAGGCCAGGAAACGAAACTGGACATGGGCAATGAACAGGGAGTTCCCTCTCAGAGTGGGTGAACTCGACAAAGACTGCTTGGTACCACAGGCGGCTTCGGATTCTTGTAAACCTCAAAGCACAGCCAGACAGATTGTACAAAACCACTCCAGTTTGTGAGATTTCAAGCATCTTGAGGACTCCTCAACTCTGCTCGGCCAACTGGCCTCGAGACGACATCCATCAAAATGATCGTAATCGCTGGTGATGAAAGCCACTGGTGCATGGGCATGCCAAGCTTCAACAAATTGTGTTGGAGAATGATTTGGAGGCTGACGCTTGGGTGGCCCAACTCGAGCCGAGGCTGCCGCTTTGCGGAAGGTGACAGCCGGGTGTTGCAGCAGATGCTGACGCGGGACTTGGTCAGGGCCCATGCCAAGACCACAGCGCCTTGGCAGTCGAGACTATTTTGACATTTCAATGTGGTAATAGAGACCGTGACGGTGGGCCAACTGTGTCGTGTACAAAGCAGCTGGAGACCTTCAATTCCCAAAGCATCCTGTTACCCAGCTTATCCCGCCTGTGCAGCGCCACCTGGACTTCCAGTGCGCCCTCCTCCTCCTCCTCCTCCTCCTCCTCCTCCTCCTCCTCACTGGTTTGAAAGACAAACAGAAATACCGACGATGTTCACATCAAACATGTTGGGCGAACATGAGTTTTACCTGAGGCCTGTGCATCGTGGCATTGCCTACATTCCGTTGTGCCTTGTTTTGAGGGTACTCGTTTGGGCCTGCTTCGAAGTCGAAGCCAAAGTGAACTTGTGTTGAAGGCTCCCAATTTGGAAATCATGTTTCCTCTTGCGCCTGCTATAACCCACGCGCGATTCGATTTGTTCCTCGCCCAGTCCGTGCTGCGGCTCCTTTGGCGGTTCCTACAGGCTGGGGTTTGGGGGTGGGAGGGGGGGTAGATCCTGCCTACGTTTGGGGGCGCCTTACTTCTGTTTCGTCAGTGTAAAGCCAAACATGCAAACCTGAACCGACAGAAACCCAGCCAAAGCCAACCAGCCAGCCAGCCTGCCTGGCAACCAACACAGGCAAAAAGCGAGCGAGCGATTCAACCAACCAACTGACCAAGCAACTAACCAACCAAGCCACCAACAAAGCAAGCAAGCACAACCAAACCACCTGAGCAAACACGCCCTGCGATATTCCGTGTGGGAAGGCAACCTCCGCCCACACGGGGTTTGTTGCTTGTTACTCCTGTACCAAAGCGCCATCATGTGAGGAATCTCGTTTCGTGGGAGCCCCCTTTGAGGTTCGTTCATTTAAATGAGTCTTGTTTTGAGGGTGGGTTTGAATTTGTTCCTGAGTTCTTGGACTTCAAGCTTCTTGGTAAGACAATTTTGGTAAGCAACAATTTGGACTTTGACTAATCCACCCAAGAAGTGAGGTAAAGCCAAACCAATTTTGAGCCACATTGAAAACCCGGGTGGATTCAGGATCGTAAGAGACAATCTCAGCCATAAATGGGTGTGGCCTCCTTTGTAATTCTGTACATGGCTTTGGGTAGACCAATTTCATGCCAGGTGTTGATTATGACTCCTAGGTCCCCCAGTAGTACCCTTTCTCACCCTTTTTTGGGGGAGGGGTCCCCTACTCAAATAGACCACAGAAAATACAATAGGGTATCCTTACTCTAACCTCTCTTGGACCTAGACTCTATGTCTCATTTGCAGTGCCCCCGCGCTCGGGAGGACTGGCTGTCCGGGGCCTTGCACAGCCCAGCAAGGCTACGGTACCTTCGGGACCAGAAGCTTCTGCAGGCGCCTCGCGAGAGACGAACACTGAGTACTGGACATGCCCTTTGTTTGTTATTTGCTGAGGGTAATTCCCCTTTTTTTTTCTTCTGATTTTAAAGGAGAACCAAAAGGAAAACCCTTGTGTTTTGAGGGTACGCTTTTGTTGTGTGGTTTTAAAGGGACACCAAAAGGAAAGCCCGCCTTTTTGGTGGGGTCCCATCACAAAAGATACACCCTGTGTTTTGAAAGTAAAACATAGGCAGGACCCCATGAATGGTTGGCTTGCCTTTCATTGAAAAATCTTCCCGAGTTTTGGAGGCATCCCCAGGTGCCCGGATATGGCGCGTTGGCTTTCTGGCAAATGTGCTCAAGAGTTGCCTTGACGACTCTCCAGACTTGGATGTGGGTCAAAAAATAAACTACCGGACACTTCCCAAAATGGGTACCTATTTTTTTTATACACCATTTGGTGTGACTTGAGGGGAGATGAAGTCCTCATTTGGGCTTACCCATGAAGGTGCCTTTCGCGGAGATGCAGACAGTGACTCCAGTTCCAGGAATGCAAAAAAGCAATGAACAACCGTCAGCGGTTCAAAGAACGGGCACATGCACCAATCAGCCAACACGCGCAAGTTTGCAAAAAGACCTGCAAAGAACCAAACTCGAGCGACGCCCTAGCACACCTTGACGAGGCAGGATGTTTGAGACTGCCCTGCAGAAAAGATGTTGCTCAGCAAGATTACAAGATGTCCAATGCACTGGAACATGAAGTGGCAGTTTGCCAAAATATGCAAAAAGCGTAGAACCAAAATTCCATGTGATTCCTCCACCCTTGTGGATGAGAATATCAACCCTCTTTCCAAGCCTTGTGTTTGTTGTGGTGGGTAGGGTACGTTCACAAAGGATCGCAGAGATTAGGCAACACTCCCAGCATCACAGTAAGAAAATGGATTGACAGCTGGTGAGATCCGTCTTCTTTCCTTCTAGCTGGAGTAGCATGGGCCAGAAACGGGGCAGGGAAATCTATGGTCCAGCTGTTGTCCAATTGCTTCCTGCCATCTTTGCTTGTGGGAGCTGTTAGGAATGCCACTTGTCCTGCAGTACTCCTTCATGGCGTGCTTCAGCTGCTCTAGATTTGCCATCACCAGAAGGTATTTGTTCTTTTCACTTGCACGGTGCTAGTTTGGTTGAATACAGCGTTGCATACCAGTTGATCCACTAGCACCCTCCCAACACGTGCAACAATCAGCGTTGCGATCAGCCACTCAGATCAGAGGCTCCACATCCTCGAATAGAGCCGACTTTTTGAAACTGTGGTGCTCATGCTGATCGCCTTTTCTGCTGAGGCAGCTGCTGATACTGTAGCGTTGGCAGTTGATGTCATTTATTGTTTAAACTATAGTTCTCGCATTATCTATGTGTTTAGTTGAGGCTAGGCATATATATACATATGTATTGTTCAATTATCAAATTGTCATGTTGTGTCATTTGTTTTGTTTGTTCCGTTGTTATTTCTTTCGATATACATTTATGGTTTGCTATTATGTCAGAATTTGTGACTTGGTGTTGTTCTTATTTCTCTCTATGTACTTACTTGTGTATGTCTTTCCGTCTTTCTGTTTTTGTCCGACTTTATGTGTTTATTTCTTTATTTCGTTCTTTCTTTCTCTCTCCCCCTCCCTCTCTCTGTCTCTCTCTCTCTCCCTCTCTATCTCTTGGTCTTTTTCTCAACCGCTCTGGATCACTGAAGATGGCTTCATCGGCTGAATGCACATGAGGCAAGCATGGTTTCATTAGCCGGACAGCACGCAAGCACATGAACGCAGCAATGAACAAGCCATGCAGAGCCATCGCTTCGCCGTCGCAGTTGCTGTGGCTCCTCACCAAGCTTCACCGCAGCTGCCAGCAGAAAGGCATGACCAAGGCACAGGGACGCGGAGCGAAAAGTTGTGAGAGCTCGGCATTCCGTGTGTTGGAATGCTTTTGACGATTTAATGATTCTAGTGCTTTGGAGGTGAATGCCTTTGCGTGTATGTTTCGTCGAAGAAAATGGTAGGGGTTAGATGCGTTGAGCCCTGAGGTGTGAGGCGATATCAACATATTTAACTTAAAGGTCAGATGTACCCCGGGTACTTGTGGCGAACAGCACCATGAAACCACAATACCCTTGGTCAAACAAAATAAACATCCGCACCTGCTCATTATTCAAAGGCCCGTCCCTTCATTACCTGACTTAGCTGACCGTTTTAGCTGTTTGCCGTTTTGGGTTCCTTCATGCTTTCAACCAGCAACAAGACTAAGCCCTCGTTGCTCGAGGCCTCCGGGCGGCAATGGCGGGTAGTGCCAATAATGCGTGGTTTCACCACCGGCTCCGTAATGAGTCATGGTGATGGCAGGAGCAAGCTTCTCTTTTTGCAGGGGGTAAACCCATATGTATGCCCGTAGACTCCATGAAGAAAGTTGTTGTCGCAAACCAGGTTTCCGCAATCAGACATTGGCAGGGCCCGCGCCGATACCCAAACAGAATAGTCAGCCGATAGCCAATTCACTGCTGCTGCTGCTGGCAGCTGCTGGGGTGCACTTTGTGAAATGCTGAAAAGCTATGACTTCGTGTCCTGCACATGTACTGGAACAGGAAACTTGTACAATTTCGGGCTGCCAAGGTGTACTTCACGTACTGAGGTGGAGAAATCGTGCACTGCAGACCGATGGGCAAAATGACCATCAAACGACACCAGGGTATAAAGTTACAAAGGGATGTTTGGTGCATTGGCGTGAGACTTGCCAACGCGCAAAGATAGATGGACACTTTTCCAAGCGTTTCATGCCAGTGGCGAGCACGCGTCTTCCTAGCAAAACGCCTGGCTCAGGGAACTCCCTGGACCTCAAACAGCACACAAACAGCAACAAAAAGACGGGCATTCAAGCCACCTAAAGCCAACTCATTGCCTCGGCCGGGGCTTCGGTCAAGCCGATTTTTTCCTTCGGGCCTGTGGCCAATCCTTGGTCACGTGTTCGGTGAACCACAAGCCTTTGTTGCTTTGCCACAGGAACCGGGCAAACAAGATATGATCGTATCTTGGGCTGCCATGGCTTGAAACGGATCAGCGTCGGTTGAAACAAAAAACTTAGAAGGTTGATTTGATTTGGGCTGAGTGAATCATATCCGATGCGGGCAACGCAAAAGCCGATCTTGCCTGGGATGCACTGCATAATTGCGCTTGGTGTTTTCAATGCATGGCCCCCCCCCCTGAAAAAAGTTGAAGTTTCCCTTGCGGCTTCCCAAAAGAAACACAAAACGGAGGTACCAACTCAAAAGGCGAGCCACCCAGTTGCGTTGGGCGCCCAAGCCACGGACATGCCAGGCACAGGCGGATACCGAAGCTTGGCTCCAGGCGGGGCAACTCATCTACGACGTGGCGCGCCTCGGATCTCCGAAGGGCCGAAGACGATGAAGCGCTTTCATGAACTTGTTGGGAACATGCTTCTTCCCAACCTACTTGCACAACAGTTTTACTTGTCGCATCTGATCTTGAAGTTCTTGGAAACAGGTGGCTATGAATTCTAGTTGGGGACCCCGTGGTGGACATCATTTACATTGGGATTGATGCTCACCAACGCTTTTTGAGGGTGTTTCCTGTTAGATTTGATGGCCACCTATTTCTCCAACCTTTACTTCGTGCGTTCCCACCAATAAATATGAAATGGGACCTTCCCCCTTGCCGTAAAACGCATCTGCGTCTATGCGCCCTGAGTTTTGACGCGATTTTGTGTAGAGTCGGATAGGCACCGGTTTTGAGAATGACTCAGCGTTCGTTTTGACATTAGCATTTGGCCGGCGAGATATGTCTTATGTTTGCATGTCCAATCAAACCTTTGGTTATCCCATCGGATTGTTGGGCTCGAGCGGAAGAGTAGGCTACTCAAAAGACGAGCCCCCCGTTCTCTTCGGGCGGCGTGGGGGTCAAGCCGAGGAAGACCCAAGCACAGCAACTGATCCACGGCACGGTGGAAGCCGCCTGTGGGCCTTCCCTGGACACCCGACGCTTCCTGGAGATGCCCCTCTCCGCAATTCAGTGCGTTTCCGGCACCGGGTGTGGAGGGGGGGGTTGGAAGTGAAATGCATGGCCCAAATGCCAAAAGCGAAAACGATGTGTCATATTTGTCGCTTTTTGGTTGAACCTTTTTCCCTTTGAAGGTCTTTGAGCATGGGCGGAGAAAGCTGCGAGAGGGATGTGGATGTACTTGTTCGACCATGTACTGCTGCGATCTTGCCTCCTTGTTTGTGAGCCAAGTCTGGGGTCGGGTTTCTCCATTTTCCATGTGACCGGGGGCTTGAACCAAAGGGATGAGTCATTGGGAGGACGGCAATGAGCGGCAAGCTGGGGTGACGACTGAGGGGATACAGTCGACGCGAACAATAAATGCTCACAAGGCTGACCGGACATGTCAACCCTTCGCTTGGAGAGGATCCATAAAAAATGATTGGGTTTTGGGGGGGAGGCGGGGGGGGGGGGGGCGGAGCCCAAGCAAGCCCGTTATTACGGACTTCATAAGGGCTTACTTGGGCTACCCCCCCCTTCCCCTCCAGCCCCATGAGATAAATATCAATTGCGGCTTTTTGAAGGCAACCTAGCAAATATGCCTACTTGCAATTGAACGCAACGCAGGTCAGGTTCCGTGAAATGTGGGACGTGTTTGCATTCGTGAATACTCTCAGTTGTTCTGTGGTGGGCCTTTCCATTCCTTTCCCAATTCCCACATGGACACAAGACAGCAAACGGGCTAGCCCTTTTGCCCACGTGAAACGGCCGGCGAGTCATTTCTCACCACGAACCCTGTGTTGGCTTCCATGATCATTGGGCACTTGGTTTGTCAGTTGTTGTTGTTTTGTTGGCGCCGTTGCGTTGCCAGTCTGTTGCTTTTCTGCTGATAACGCTGAACTGGTACCGAGAAATCGGCTTACAAGCAACCGCTACGCCTGCCTTCAGCTGGAACATCACAGTATATCTCGTGGATCAATACATTGGTTGCCTATAGCCGGCCGTTGGTTTTGGCCAAGGAGGTTATGCACTAAGTTCCATTAGTTTTTTGGATCCGGTAGTGATCGTGGATTTGGCAGTGTTGCGAAAATGTTGAAGGTCTGCGAAAGGTAGCTCCTTGTCAGAACTCACTAGTCCTCTTCGCCAGACTTTGCTAGTCTCCGGCACAGGTGCATCAGCGACTGCTGCTCGCCTGCAATCAATGGCACGGCCAGCATTAAGTCAAATAGCTATGAATTTCAATTGGGGATCGCCCGCAAAAGGTTGGTGGGCATGAATCCCGCGTGAATGATGCTCACCAAAGCTCAGAATCGTCTACATGTCAAGGCCGGCCGGAATCACACATATTCTGCGGTTGGGGGGCAAAGACTGTGGTAGAAAGGGTTCCTAGTTCATACCTACGTCTCCAAATCCAAGTTTCTCTTGAGCTATGATTTGAGATCAATTGTCACAGCTCAGCCGATCAGCGTAGATTCTTCTAGCATGGTATTTAGATAGAGAGACAATCACGGCATGCTGGGAAGCTAGCTATCCATAGAGATGGGCCAGAAGATAGCGTCGATTTGGCCTGCTTGCTTTGTGATACACTTTGGTATGTGATGAGCACGACTTCGCCTAGCATGAATTACTGAAGCCGCTCAATCAGAAGTACATCCAGCACCCCTATCCGTAGAAAGTCATTCTTTGCTGAGAACAGTCCTTTTCAGATGTGCAGTCCTTGCTCTTGCAAGTTTAAGCTTCATGACTCAAGTTGTTGGGATGCATTTTCCAGTCTTATGGCGACCCGTTGCCGCATGATTTTCCGTTCATAGAATTTTGCCATTGTTGTCCAGGTTCCTTGAAGCCACCCAGAGCGGGGAAATCATGGAGCGCTTCTCTTGACACCCCCGGGCTCCAAAATGCTACCAGAGGCGAGGCGCGCCACGTGTACTGACCGATGGCCGAAGACAGAACTCGATGGAGCGGTCGAATTTGTCAAGGCCTGCAAGTGGGGCACAGGCCGTGAACAGCGGATGTAACTTGTGTGGCTCAAGCCATATCATTGTTTGAGTCAATCGTGGCATCGAGCTTAGAGGGACTGCCTCACAGCCCGTGGCCGAGTCAGCTGATCGCAGGACGCTCGTCAGGCTCAGGCAGGGCGGTAAAGTCCGACTTGCCTGCATCCTTTGCTTAGGTCCCGGCTTGGAAATGTGCAGAACTGTAATCAGTGTTCATGACTTTTCTTTCAAGGTCTAACACCCAAGTAGTTGCATGCGAGTGAAGATCACATTGATGTTACCTGTTAGCCTGTGGCATGTCGCGCCGTCGCAATGAATGCAGCTCCCTTGGCATGGGCCCCGAGTCTTTTCCTATCTTTTCCTCGCCGCGGGCAGCAGCTTTTCTTGAGGGCTTCGACGAAGCCGCGCGCCCCGAGGGCCAAAGCTAACGCGGTGACTCTGGACCTTTTTGGAAAACGTCCCCCCAAAGGCTGGCCACAAGTTGCTGTTATGGTAACGTTCGCCCTTTCGCCCACCTTGTGGCTCCGCGAAACCTAGTGCCCTTTCTTTTTTTCTGGCGTGCAAAGGTCATTTGACAGCCCCGAGGGAGGGTGCTAAAACTAGGTCTTGCTTTGTTAGATCTGGGGCAAGGAGTCTCGAGATTTACCAAGTCCATCTCGCACAGACGGCTGCCGAGTGAAAAGCTCTTGGCGCTCCGTTTTAACGGTTAGAAGCGCCACGCCGACCTTGTCGGCAATGGTGTGCGCTGTACAGTCACAGAAGCGTGGAAACCACTGTGAATATTTCTGTTTTCCAGCACCACCCAGGCACCATCCAGGAGCCTTGGCCCGCACGGCACAAGCGAGTGGTGTAATTCATTGATATCGAATGCATCACCCCAGCAGTGGGTGACCTTACCAGCGCGAATTGATCATGAGAAAGCTGATCATGCAATGCCGGCTGGAGCGTCGTGTGGCAACTTAGTTGCAAGCAATCAGGCACGCTGCCCTCACGCGGCATATCATATCTCTGCCGCATTGGGTTCTCCATTGGTCAATGCGGCAGGCTTCATTTGATTAGCGTGGTGCCAATTGCGTGCCCCTCACAGCATGGAATGAGAGGGGTGAGTTGGGACAGGGGATAGGTGTTTCTTTGCAGACCAGCTAGCAATTACGAGAATGCAACAGTCCTACACCCGAAATCATCATGTTGATCGAAATTGCCCGTCACGTTTCGCGAGTTGTAAGTAGAATTTAGTTCCTGGCGATTACCGGAGTGCAGTAAGCATTGTTCATGGCCAGCAGATGGGCTTTTGTGCGCGCAGTAGCATTCAAGCACCTTTCGAAGTGTAGCAGAAAAGTTCAGCCGAACTGTGTTACGGTTGTGTGGTGACTAAAGAATCATGGATGGTTTGCACAGACATGGTTTGGAGCGCAATCCGAAACTCGCGCCAAATGGAAAGGTGTCCTCTTCTCAAATGTTAAGCGTGCACCACACCACCAAACCACGATCGTTGGGGGTGTCACAAAAAAAGATGGAACCTCAAGACACGAAGACACCCATTGTAGAGCTCGTAACTTTTCCGGCCCCCTGTGTTGGCTCGGCTTTGTGAGCTTCCATTGTTGTCTTTACGAGGCTCCATGTGTTTCTGCTAAAACCGACTCTTTGACGTCTGAGTTTCCCATGGCCCATCTTGTGTCAGAGTTCCAAAGGTTTATGCTGGTCCATTGAGCAAGTAAGCCGCTCCCCCCCCCTTCCCTCACCATTTTGGCGCGATGGCACGTTCGTGCCATTTTTGAGACGTTTTGAAGTTCTGTTCGCAAATCCAATCCAATTTTGAAGAACCGACTGCAATCTTCAAGCTATCGGATCGACGTTTTCGGCTCGTCGTGTTGGTTTGGGATCAGGTGAACACTGCGCCCGGCAGCCCGCCGTTGCCCTCTGCGCGGGGGCGTGAGGTGGCGCGCAGGGAGCCTCAAAGCAAGCGGCGGGAAGCTGGGAGCACGGGCGGATGGGAGACGCACGGGTAGAGTTGGTCGTTTGTTTGTTTGAGGGCTCCCTTTTGGGACCAATTTTATTTGGAAACCATTGGAACCCGCCCCATGTTTGGGTCTTTAAACAAAGGGACCCACAAGATCGCTTCGAGATTCCTCGTGGTTGTCCATTAGAACAACGAAAAAGGGTAGCAGCTCAAAAAAAGAGACAAATGTGCATTTGAAGAAGCAAACAGAAGGCATAGTTTACAGGGCCTCCATCATGAGCATGGTGGCGGACATTGCTGTATTCAGGTTGCCACTTTCTGCAAGTGGCCAAGGGAATCTCAAGTGACATGAATGGGCTTGTCGTATTTGTTGCATGTCCAAACCCGTGCCTTCAGACTTCCGGCTGTTGGTTTCTCCTATAGTTGGCCAGATTGATTTTCCCAAGCCGCTCACCGAGGGTATTTTAAGGCCGAGAACGCGGCCTTGTTTAAGACGCATAGTCATTGCAAATTGGAAGATCAGGCTTGCGTGTCTCCAGAGTCCAGAGATCAAGTTGCTGGTCAGGGAAAGCAGCAACTGTCAGCCCTTGGCTGACAAATCCAAGCTAGGTGAGAAGAAGCACAGGAGCGCAGAGGAAACAATCGAGTCAATACAGCGTTGCTTTCATGCAACCTTCCATTGTTCCACGCTGCTGGAATATTCACAAAACAATGTCATTTCCTTTCGCAGAAGAACGGTTTCTACATTTGCTACCAATTCCTGGATCATTTTTTTTGAGCGGGGGAGACCATTTTAGCGGTAAAGCGTAGGGTAGGACTTTTTTTGACCAGTCCACTCAGGAAGTGAGTATACTCATTTATGTGTGTATTTGCGTTTTTATATATATTTATTTTGCTATGATTGTATGTGTGTACATACAGAGATTATATTCTATGTTCTTGTGTCTGACTGGACTATGAGCCAGCTTTCTTCAGCTCACGAGAGCTTCGGTCTGGAGGAATTATTGATATTGCCGACATGGGTTCGGCCTTCATCGGCGCTTCACAGAGCCACTTTGCGTTTGAGAGGTCAGAGTGTTAGCATTGAGGCCCCCAGTTGTGCTCGAGACGTTTGCTCACGGACAGAACGACCTGCAACAAGATTTAGCCTGCTTGTTTGCAGGCGAGATGTGTGATGAATTTCGTCCCAAGCAATTTGAATGCTGCATCTTTGTGCTCAGCGCCCGCGTCCTTCGATGTTTGTTGCCTTCAGCGCAGAGTCAAGGCGGTATCTAGGGGTTTGCTTGCCCAGCGATTTGTGGCAAATCATGTCGGAGTAAGATGCTGGAGGAAAACCAGGGGGCAACCTTAAGTCAAGCTGGATCCTTACGTAAGCACAAAGAAACGGAACAAAAAAGGAGAACAAAACAAAAGCAAAACAAAAAACGAAAATGGGACCAAATATTTGTAGAGGTCCCCGACGCAAGGATAAATTAGACAATTCATTGCACGCAAGCCGTGTTCTCGCGGCAAGCGATCCATGTGGCTCATCCTTGCGGGACTCGCTTCAGCGGTGGCGAGCCAGGACTGGGAGTGATGGCGCTCGTTGCTATGCAAAAAGAAGTCGTTCATCTGCAATATGGCTGTGGGTCAAACCAATGGATCCCATTGTGGGGTAGGTGCAGCACCCATTTTTATCTACTTTAGTGGGGATTGAGATGTTTACTGGGATGGCCATATTACATTACTATTGATTGGCAATATCAGAGGGATACATTGAGATTCTGGTGTTAGCTTGGTTCGAACATGTCCCAACTGATTCCCAAGGACACCAACACCCCTTACAGGGGCCGTGTGATGATGGTCGGCACAAAGGGTCTCCTTTTTGTCAATTCTGCGTCTATGTAACTATGGAATAGTTGCCTATAATTGTGTCCCATGCTGCGTTTAAACATATGTTTGCCACGCGGAAGATCCCTCAAGCAAAGCTGTTATACGGCCTTCTCCTCTAATTTTGTTAGTGGAATATTGGTGGATTGTGTGTGTGTATGCTGTTTCTTGTTCTTGTGTGTGTGTGTGTTGGTGGGTCGTGTTCTGAGGCTCATGTTCGATTTCGGCCATTGGTTCCTTTTAGAAGGGTGGGCGACCTCATGGGCAACCACCGCGTGCAAGTTGACAATGGTGCTTTCGGGCTTGCACCGAGAGCAAAGTGCCAAAATGGGGAGAGCCCCGCCTGGCAAGCTTCCATTTCCCTAAGACTATGTGTTATTCTTTCAGAAATTACAGGGAATCTATCACTACTGGAATATATAATATATTTCATTATTTTTTCTGGGGAACTCGCGCAGATTCCCCCGCAAGTGGCTCAAAACGGACAGGAGCCTCGCCGGTTGGTGGTCTCCGCAGATGTTTCCAGGCGCTGGGAGACTGTCGGTGGGTTTTTGGCTAGCTGCCCAGACTCAGTGGGTTTGGGGTTTGGGAGCGTTTCCATTGAAACTGATCTGACCGGAGAGAAATGGGTGTGACTTTTTTGGGGTATTTGGGGGTTCTCAAGGGGTTCACCAAAAGGAAAGCCACCTTTTTAGGGGTAAGAGCCAGATCCGAATGATGTATTGGTTTCACGTGAGGTTACGAGTTACCTGGTTCCGGTTGCCTGGCTGAAACCCATGAAATTGAGCAGGCAGAGGCCTTGGACGTACAAGAAACACGGTGGTTTTTAACCATCCTTTTGTGTTTTTGTTTTTTTTTAATTCTTGTTTTTTGGGGTGGGGGGGGGGGGGGTAGTTTCCACTAAACCCCTAGAAGTTAGACTATTTGCAGGGGATCCGGGAACTGCCAAAAAAACATGCCAACTGTCAAGTAATGAAAGAGGCGATAGCAGGCGGAACTGATCAAACGACATGAAGAAGCAATGACAGAAGCAATGACCATAAAACAAGTGTCCTTGTCCTGAAGGCAAGAGTACACCAAGGCACTAAGTGTTAGAAGAGTGTTAGAAGGGCCTACTGCGTTGGACCATGGAATTTGCATCAGACCATTTTTTGTTAATTTAAGTCCACTTGCCCTCAGGGACGCGTTATTCCGTATCTCGATGTGTGTTACCAATCGCCACACACATATTCGAAGAAAAACAGTTAGTGAGACGTGACCTCGAAACACGTTGCTACTGTGGATGGGCGACATCCTGCACCGCTTGGAAACCACGGTTGAAACCATTGTTGATTGGTATTTTCGTTGGGGAATCGAATCATAACTTCCACATGTTCTGAGTTCGGTGCGAGAAATGGACTTTGTCCATCGGTATCTTGTGACGAGTCCATTTTCGTTGGCTTCCCTCCGGCCTCTGAGACTCTACGAGCGCCTGTCCGCAGCGCCGCCGCGGACGGCACTGGCGCTGGCGTATCTGCTTCATGAGCCTGAGGTGCAGGCACGAGAGCACATGGATCGATCAGTGGGGGGCTCCTCTTTCATTTGCTGGAGCATATGTCTTGTTCTTCCTGCCCTGTTGGTTCTAAAGGAATCTATCCCTAAAAATAGTTTTTTTTTTTATTTTATTTTTTTTTATTTTTTCCAGGGGGCGTATGCGCAAATGGACGCCCCTGATCTGGGTACCTTTTGTAGGTTAGGGTAGAAATTTCAGTATTCATTTCTTGTTTGAGCTTGGCAAATAGTATCTCACCATTCAACCGGGTTGACTTGAGGGAATGGCTGGTTCATGTGTTTGGTCGTTTTTAAGAAGGTCTGCGGGAGCATTATCAGGAACAAAACAAAATCCCAAAACACAAACTAAATACCACACAAATACCATGAACAAGAACACAATATCAACCCGTGTTCGATTGGTCTGTAACGTTCTGACATATTCTGAAATAGTGTGAATGTGTGTCGCTTGTTCCATCTTGCACCTGATGCCGTTCTTTTGGTCGTTCTTCAATTAAGGCGGAATCAACGTCAAGTCGAAACTTAGTTTGTCCAGATCATTATTTATGACTATCCTGGTTTATGGAAAGTTAGTTTGACATATGATACAATAAGTGTATTTTTTTGGCATTTTCGCTTTCTGATAAACACTACCTGCCAAGTCATCGTGATCATGTTGAAATCATTGCATGGGAATGTTTGTTTCATCAATCATTTGATGGGACGCTACCAAACTCCAGTGCCAAATTGCAGAGCAGAGGCCGGCACTAAGGCTGGAACCATTTCCGCAAGCGTGAAGCACAGCAACCTGCTCACTACGGATAGTATTTCAGATGATGGCATACCCAGCCTTTGTCAGCACCCATATGCAGCAGACCGATGAGATTTGCACCAAAGCAGGGTCAGCCTTAGGTTGCGTTTTGGACAAAGCGGATTCTATCAGCAGATGACGCTCAAAAAGTTGGCTGTGTAGTTCACAAAAAGCGGCAAACCAATGGCAGTCCCTCTCCACTTTGTTCGCCAAACCTGGATGTATTTTCCACGGTGAGGAAATACCATACACATCTCAGGCCAGTGATCCAGCAACCATCCTTTGTTCTGAGAAGCAGACAGGCCTGATTCTGCAGCGTTTGTTTTTGTTTTTTACAGGGGAAGCCTTCCATGTGTTCTTCCCCTTTGTTCAACATGAACTTGTGTGGCATTTTAAGTGGGTTCCCTTTAAGCGGGTAGTAGATAAGGAAACACAGTGAGCCCAGAGCATGATTGCCACAACTGTGTGCAGTCGATTGTGGGATGCGAGCCTGCTCAAGTGGTGAGTACTTTATGACTGGCAACAGGCTAAGATTGCGTTGTCACGCACAATAACACGGAAAACGAAAACAACGCATCAGGAGGCGAGCGGAAAAAGGCGCTGTTTGGGCTTTTACGTTGTTTTTGTTCAGTTTTCAAGAGCCGTTATGTGCACAACGAGCAATTGGCGACATAAATGACGTTGACGCAGGATGGATCAGAAAGATCAGAAAGAGCCTGTTTATCACATGTTTTTGCATTGCTCCCCGCCCCAAACCACCAGTCACGCGCCATGTTCGCCGTTTCCGACAATCACGCCATAATATTAACATTAAGAAGTGCAAACTGGCAATCTAAGGGATGGCAGGCTGAGCTTCTGGGTTGTACACACACTGTCATGTGTTAGGGAAACAGATCTTCAGGAACTCCCAAGTAATTTCTTTCATGGTTTGCCTTTTCCACTGTTTGTGGGACAAGTAAGCAGCCCTCGGTGGTGTAGAAGCCCTTTTCAAGGGAGGCTGTTCATGCCAGTAGAAAAGGCACACCCCGAAACATGGCCTGCGAGTTGCTGGCGGTTGCTGCGGGCTTCGGCGGCAGCAGCACCTACCAGCGATGGTTCAGCCCCAACCCATGCCAGGCGGTCGATCCCGATGTTGGCCGCTTCAACCTTTCTGTGGATTGAGGCTTCCATTTGCTGATGAATATGTGTTATTTTCCCCTGGGGGTTTAGAGGGAATCTATCACTACCGGAGTTTGTTTCCCGTTTTTCCTTTTTCTCGGGGGGCTTACGCAAATGGAAGCAAGGGACAGGAGTAGCTGTCGGTGCATTGCCCGACTAAACCTAAACAGCCGTTGTGGTGAAGATTGTGTTGCCACTTTCTGTGAGTGGCCATACGAATCCCCGAACAAGAGTCATCAAGTAGCCACCAGGGTTTGTGTTGGTATCACGCAAATGTTCATTTTCCACCACTGTTTCAGCGTGTTCCAGCGCTGTAGCTAGCAGACCATTGAGAACGATAGTTGGATTCATGTCTCTAGCCTGCACGCCATGTTACCATGTTGAGCAGGCTTTGGAACCTACTATTGGACAGCTGGTGTTAGCCTCTTTGGTAATCTGCCGACCGGATGAGATGGGCACCCGGAGATTTGTTGTCAAAGAGTCAATAGTCTGGAGCCGAATGCCGGGGTTTCCATGACAACCTTGGTTCGACGGATGGTGTGGCCTGCAAACATACCGGCCCCCCCCTTCCCATGATACACGATGTCACCATGGCCTTGTCCGTTGCCCCACAGACTTGTCGTTCTTTTGGGTGTGTCTTTGTTAGGGGACCCCCAAACAAATGGTGGTGAACTCCTTCTGGTTTTCCCTTGAAGTCGCAAAAATGAACCCTCAGCCTGGTGTTTTTGTTCGTCAGTTCCATGGGCTCAAAACCTTCCATTGAAACGCCGGGTTCCGATCAGCGGAGCAACAAAACGCTTAGCGCTGTCTTTTGAGAAGAGCAACCAAAGGGCATATGTTGTTTTGAAAGCATCACCCAGATGCATTTTTGTGGAAGGCCCCTCCAACCACATCGGCGGATGAAACTAAATAACAAATAGGGAAGCTTGTTATACACTTCCCTTCACCACACTTGGCAAGGTTCAGCCAGTCCAAGTTCGTGAGCGGGGATTCATCAATGGGTGCGTGTCAAAATAGGGCACCCCAAAAAGTGGTTTTACCTTTGGTTTCCGTTTAAACGAACCCGAAAAGGGGGGTACCCTCACAAGAGGCAGCCCCAAATGTAAATGTCAGATTCGAGAGGATCAAGCCAATGCTAATAAGAATTGCAGGAACCCACGAAACACAACAGAAGTCCTCACCAAAAGGGGCACCGCTGACCAAAGTCGACCTCTCACCACTCCGCCTGAGCTCAGGCGGCCGAGCGCTTCCTTTCGGAGATGGGCTCAAGCGTGCCTGTTGCCCCCTGACCGCCTAACGCTCCGTTCGTCGAACTTCTGCGGCTCCCAAGTATTCATCCGTTGGCTCAGTCCAAAGCCAGGCTTTGGACCTTTTGGTTTTCCCCTTTTTGTCCAATTTTAGTCATGACACCAACAGGTTCACCCATGTTCACCCTTTGTTTCCAGGTCCTTTGGACAACTGAGTTGGTGTTTGAGGTTTTTTTGGGTGCCATCTTAGTCTTAAGGCCTTCGATTTTGCAGCGTAAGGTGTTTGTGTGCAAGAAGGCTGGCAGAGGTCGATCCCCATGGCAAAAATGCTTAACAACGGCTGATGCAGAGAAGAATGGCATTCGTTCATATTCGTTCACTTTCCTCCAGAGCTGATCACCCATGTTGCTTTTCAGGATTTGCTTTGGAAGCCAACAGCTCGCCAGCCTTTCAACCCTCTGCAAAGCACCCCAAAATCAACCACCTGCCCAACTCAGTCCCAGGATTCTGTCCTGGGTGGTTTCAATCACCTGGCTGCGAGTGTGTGTTTGTATTTTTTTCTCGGTTGTTGCTGTTTGGAAAATATAATGTTCTCACTCGCCCAAAGGCGACCTTTGAACCCTTTGGTTCCCCTAATGTTCTCCATTTTTGTCACCCCGCCCAAAAAAAGGTGATCACCTTGTCCAGGTTCTTTGGGTATTGAATGTTTCATGTTTGGCGGGAATCATTCTGAGATTTCAACCTACCTTGCAGCATTGCACGCCTAGGTGTGCGGCTCCAAAGTGGGCTTCCTGGATCACAACAGAGCAGACGACAGCCTTACACAGCTGATGCAAGGCTGCAAACGACATGCATGGGGGGGCCTGCCCGGGCGAACAACACAGCTGTGTGTTGTCCCGTCTGTGATAAAATAATTGATGGTGGCGCTCCCTGCATGTTGGCCACGGGAGTAGCTTGCGACAATATTGACCCCTGATTACTAGCGCTGTCATGAGTCAGGGGGTCCCTGTTTTAGTGAGGATTTCTTCTCCCACAGGAGCACGCTGAATCATGACTTGGGACTTTCCAGCATGGGTTGACTTGCGGATTTGTCATACTGTGTGGCGCAGATTGATCAGAAGCAAGTTTACCTTCGCTGTGCTGTCGTTAGATTATAAAGTCGTTGTGATGTCCGGGCGCCTACTCGCAAGACCATGTGTGTTCATGTATGTGTGTCTGCCCTTCTACCACCCCGAAGAGCAGTCAAGTTGACACCACAAAACCACACTGCCATTGATTCATCCAAACACATGTTCCAGGTACCAGATGGTAGCAACTGGAGATACGAAGGGTTTTTGCGTGCTTTCATGCTTCTGTGCGTTCCTGGGCCGACCTTGTGGTTTGCTTCATTCGGCTCTTTTTTGGTCAAGGTCCCAAAAGGTGATCACCTTTTGCTTCCAGGTCCAAGGGGCAAGTGAGCAAAACCCACCGGTTTTTTCCCAAAATTCCCATACGTTGGGCTAGGGTGACACAGAGAGGTTTCAAGGATTATAACGTTCCCTTCAAGCTTTTGCTCTAGGATTGTGACCTTTCCCTTCAAGCCTTTTCCTACTTTCCCAAGGATTATCTTTCCTGACGTTAGAACCAAGTCCCAATCGAGGCGGTGCTTCCTGGCTCGTGCTGGACTCCTGGGCGGCCGCCGCCGCGGTGACCATGCCCTCCATGAAGTGCCGCGCCCTGCCGCGCGGCTCTCACGTGGTGCGCGGGGTTTTCTTGTGGGGTAGAACCGCTATGGGGTAGCGGGAAACAGGGGAAGCACCCGAAAAACATGGTTGTTTTCGGAGGGTGCCATGTCAAAGGTCGGGTTAAAGGGGCACCAAAGGGAAGACACCAATGTTTTTGTTGTTATCTGCCAGATGACTGCCCACCTGATATGCATAGTACATATGTGAGCACGGGTCATAATTACATCACCCGGGTACCGCAGGTTTTAGTCGTTGGTTCCATTTACCGGGGTTCCATTTTGGAAATTTTCAGAACATATATATATATATAAATATGATGCAGATGACGTTGAGCAACGTAGTGCTGACGTGCGTTCATGTCGTCGGAGTCCATCAAATTCACAATCCGAAACCACAACTTCATATGAGCTTGGACTTCTGCTGGAACGTGTGTTGCCCCTGTAGTAGCGTGCTTTTATGTTTTGTTTGCGGCCCAAGCATCAGTACCCTAAAGATTTTGAACCTTCAAACAGTGTTTGTTGAGGCCCAACACACGAACCTAAGGAGGTCCCTAAACTCCTTTCAATGAAGGATCCGAACTCTGATACTTAGGAATGTTTGAACCGTCCTGGATTGGTGGAACGCCAAGAGCGCGAGGTTAAATCACGTGCAGCTTTCGTGTCAAGGTGGGTTGGTTCTCTTTGAGGCTTGGTACTCTGTTTAAAGGAAACCCACCAGGAAAAGAACACTTGCTGGGATCCCATACGAAAAGACACAACCACATGCTAAAGTAGAGATGACACCTCCGCATGTTGATTGTCAAACTGCGCCGATCCAGTCAGAGCCACATACGCCTAAGAGTGCTTTTGGTGTTCCACGCCAGCTTGAAAGGGATGCAATCTCATGTGCCGGTTGGTGATGATGACGGTGGTTTGTTGCTGGATGTTAACAGAGCCACATCCAACAGCCGGGCGAGCATCAAGATAATTATTAGCAAAACGTAGTTGCAGAGATGGCGGTGTCACACATCCAATCATGGCAGCTTTCAAGCACCCAAAGGAACCAGAGGACTGCCTTGAGGGGCAGCTTGTTTCGTTCTTAACACTTAGAACAATGAGTGTTCGCCTACAAAACCCCATGTTGCTTTTGCAAGTCAACGATTAGTCGGGTTACCCTTGGCTGGTGGGTTGGATAGGTGGTTAAGAGATGTGAACCCCCGGTTCTTCGTCCAAACTCCAAACCACCGGGCACCAAACCATCAGAGGGAAGCTGATGGTTTCAACAGGAGCTTCGACAACCAGAAGGATTCTCAATAGAACCATGACCACCAATCCAAACCACCCTTTTCGAGGGGAGCTCAATGACCCATTTGTAACCCGTTTTCAGCCCAGGATCTCCGAGTTCCTTCTGCCTGGGCCGGGGGTTCTCTTCCACGGGAACTCGGTGAGCGGCCCCTTCTCCCACGTCTCGGACGCCTCCATGGGCTCGCCAGGCCTGGAGCAGAAGGCGCTTAAAGGATCTTCAACCCACTGAGGTAGGCTAGGTCCCCCAGTGGTGCCCTCTCTCACCCCTTTTTTGGGAGAGGGTTCCCCTACTCAAATAGACTACCGAAAAAAGGGTGCCCTTATTCTAACCTCGCTACTGGAGGACCTGGTGAAGGATCTTCAACCCACTTGGGTAGGTTTTTGCCGTGCCATTTTTTGGCGGTAGATGAACAGTTCGAACTTTTTTGGCCGCACCCAGGAAGTGAGTACTTAGGGAACGAACACCCCAGGTACCTATCACCTACCTGAGGTTGAACATCCAAGGCAGGAACTTGGGCCCTTGAGGCTGGTGAACCTCAAGTGCACAGTTTGTAGTCCACACTTGAACAGTTCAGAGAGCATTCCACGCATCTGTGGGTCGATTGTTTTTTTGAGGGAACCGTTTTGGGTGGTTTTAAAGGCGACCCCAAAGGACAAACATGATTTTGGGAGGTCCGTTTGTGGCATGTTTGGGTCACAGAGAGACCCCTTAACGGAGAAGCGGCTCTCGCTTTTGAGGTGTGCTGCTGCGGGCTTGGCAGGACTCCTTTCAGGAGGCTCGCGAAGCGATTGGCCGGGTGTGTTTGTGTGAGGATTTTTCCAGATCCTCTTCTAATTTGGACCCTGTTTTGGCTCAGAACGACACGCCCTTCCAGCAGCTTCTCTCAGCAAAAACTGTTTGCGCTGATTCGCCCCCGCGCCAAACGGTTCCTGGAGCCGCCAAGACAGCCCCAAGACCTTCAAGTTGTTGCAGGCCTGCGCTGATTCTTTTGCCAAGTAGCCTTTGTGCGTTCTGAGCCAAAACCATTGTCAAAGTTAAATCATGTTTGTTATCAAGACCCCAGTCTTGCAAACATGGAATCTCCTGAGGGAAGCTACTTTGCAGTTGATGTTGTTGAGTCTTTGCTTCAGGTTTAAGCAAAGGCTGAAGCGGCTGAAGCGGCGACTGCGATGCGTCTTGAGGAGGATCCCTTGTCAACCATCAATAGCATTGACTATTTAAGAGTCGGCCTGTTTATGGACATATGGTTTCCTTGCAGAGCCTGCCTTTGCCTTTTGGATCCATACCACTAGTGAGTGTTTCGCCAAGTATGCTAACACATGAGGTTCGGTCTGAATGTCCAGCAGACGGTCCAGAGAGGGACATCACGAAAACGAGGCATTCAGATTTCTGACCGCTCCTCCTGTTTTCTTCGGGCCCCCTCTTTTTTGGTCGGCAAAGGGAAACCAAAGGAACATCACGATGTTGGGGGGTTCCCAAGTTTTCAGACAAGCTACACACAGTCGTTGGTGCGTGTTCCCATTTCCAAACTGTTAAACAAGCTCTGTCCAGAAAGCAGTCGTTCGGGTTGCTGGTATATATGTTTTGTTTGAAGGAGCCACAAAATAAAGTGGTTTCTCTTTGGTTGCCCTTTAAAGCAACCCCACAAATTGTATCCTCAAACAGACATAATATATATATATATATCTATATATATGGGAGTCGTTCTAAAGCTCCTTGTAAGAAGTTTAGTGTTCGGTGACCATCGGTGTTGGTTGAGGTACCTCCGCGAAAGATTCGCGATGGAGTTGCGAATGTATTTTTTCTTTTCGCCACATCAGTGACATGTGAAAGCAGTGAGTCTTTTCTGGAGCCTTCCTTCTATAGCTGATGAAAACCCTCTTGCTGTTGCGGGTTGCTCGTGAAGTGATGAAGCCTGGTGAGGCTACAGTTTGACACCCTGCTTGGCTGGTTAGTGCTCCAAGTGTGTGTGTGTGTGTGTGTGTGTGTGTGTGTGTGTGTGCGTGTGTGTGTGTGTGTGTGCGCTCTTCGGCGGTGGATCTGAGATCTGAAACGTGAGTGATTTTTCGCGAAAGATGCGCGAAAGACCGCGCGAAAGCGCAGGCTTCGAGTGCAAGGGGAGGGAGGTACTTTCTGATCGCCGCGCTAGTTAGTGTGCTAACTTGGTACTGAAAAGTTGTGACTTCCAGCTGTGCTGAAAAGTGCGACTTTCCAGCCAGAGCAGCAGAAGTGCATTTTGCGCACTGCACTTGTACCGAAATAGGCTGCAATTTTTCAACTTTAGCATGTCCCAATGCTTCCTCAGTATGTTGTTGTTCAACCCCCTTTTTTGCATTGACAACCCCCTTTTTTTTTGACATTGGCCTTTGGGGTCCATTTTGGGTTGTTACTTTGTTATAATCGAACATTACGCCTGCTATTGCAACCTGTTAAGTAGCCTTGGGAGTTACATATTTCTCTGCTAGCTAAGTAAATTACTATTTGGTCCTCGAGGCCCTTTTGTGTTTGCGCAACGCACCGGCTGAAAGTCGTGCGTGGGCAGAGCCTTCATTCTAGCAATTATAGAATTGTCCTCTGCAATTTGTGCAGGTGGCAAGAAAGGAATTGTGTCCTTGTTTGTTCCGTTCCAATTTTCACACAGGTCCACAGACAACGTGAGCGTAGACAAGCCTTAGAAAAGCCGTAGAAACACCATTGTTTGGCGTAGAACCACTACTTTGTGGCGCAGAACCACCATTTGTTTGGAGTAGAACCGCTATTTTGCAGGGGACCCAGAAGATCAAATTTCTCATTCTGGAATGGTTGCTGCGATGGGTACAGATTTTGGCTGTGCCAGTGTTTTTGATTTGGCTAAGGGGGGTGGGTTCACCTTCAAGCGCTACATGGCCACTTGTTGTTGCATCTGCGTCCTGCACGGACTGTCGAAATGATGGGGACTGTGCCGTGAAAACGGGCATCAAGTCCATCCATGCTGCCTTCAATCTCATAAGAAGGATTTCGAATTTTGAGGTAAAAATGAGGAACTCTTGGTTCTGCCTTCTATGGTTGAAGAAACTGAGGAGCCTGTACAGATACACGTTGGTCGCACCTTTCAAAAAGTACTTCTTCAGCGTGTTCTTGAAATAGTTGACTCCTTCATCAGGATCTTGCAAAAGGTCGTTTTGGAGGACCGCCTTGTACATATATGCATCTCCGGTCAATCTGCTTTTGAGCAGAGGTCCTCTCTTGGGTGCTTCCACCGTTGTGATGGTCACCCAGTCGTCCACGAGTTCTTCATACCTGAACCAGCTGACTTTTCCGTCGTACGATGGCGGCTGCTTGGCGGTCATCGATAAATTTAGTGTTTCCTCCGTATAGCCTGGATTTTTGGCCAAGCCTTCTCCATCGGATGACATCTTCCCTTAGAACTCTCCCACTGCCCCAGGTGCCTATCCCCGAAGGGAACTGGTACCCTGTGGTAGTAGAGGTCGTTGTGTTGGTCCCTGGATCTATTCCGGAGAGAATCCAATATGCCACTGTGGATGATTGGAGGATGGATTGTCCCTGGTGGATTGTCTTGTGGATAATCCTGTAAGCGGCCTGCTAAGGTTCTTTTGCTTCACGCGATCATGAATGATGCAATGATATACAAAAGGGGCCTTGGGTCTGAGAACCAAACACCCCCCCCCCCCCAAGAGTTGCCACGGACCCCCCCCCCCTCCCCCCCCCCCAATCCAACGATCAAGAGTTCATGAACCAGACTTGGACGTTTATAAACTCCAACACTGAGTTATAAATCAGTCAGTTATGTGATCTATGCTCATCCAATGACACATGACGATGATCAGGCACTTGTAGTAAGACATGTGTTCTGATCTTTAGCAGGACCCCAACTCAACTCCAGGTTTTCCTCAAACAAGCGACTTTCTATACAAAAAAACATGCAACATGTACATTTTAAAGCAGGAAAACCTTGGTATTGGGGGGGGGTCCTACCATATATATATATACATATGTTTGGCGGCCCCCGCCCCCCCCCAAAAAAAAAACACACAAAGAATGACATAAACAATTCAAGTAAGGCATTGAGAACCAATCAAAGTGCAATTTTCACAAAGCACCGGGGAGGCTTCGAATATAAACACGCAAATAAGTAACTGAAAAACATATATATATATATATGTACATACATACATACATACATACATACATACATACATTTTCCTTAGTTTGTTCATTTATTTGTTTATTTGTTTCTTTATCCATGTTTTGCTTGGCTGTGTGGCCTTCCTAGGCGCGGCCTCGCCTACGTGTCTTGGGCCTGGCCAGCGGCTGGCGTCAGGCGGCGCTGCACCGGCACAGCCTGGCGTGCCGAGGACAGGGGCCTGCCGGCCGTGCAAGTACCCTCCAACAAACATAGCACCTGTGGGCTGGCACCCGGAAGATGACTTTCCTCTTGGGGGTACCCTGTGTCAGTTGCCATGTTAGTGAGAGGGAAGGTACCTCATGAGGATGGCGTCTGGGGGGGTAAAAAGGGGTCACTTGGTACCTCCTTAGGTACTTGGACCCTCTGGGTTGTCAAGGAAGTTTAATCCCATTTGCACTGTGCCTTTCTAACTCTGAGATTTACCGGAAGCTGTCCAAGATAGACCAGAATGTAGAGGTTGGATTTGGTTACAGGACACCAATTTGTGGCACTCTGATTTTGAAATTTGGGGCGCACTTCGAGTGAGACTTGAGCCTTTTCGATATCAGAAAAGGAACCCATAACTCCTTTGCGGTTGACTAGTTGGGGGGTGTTGTTGGTTTGCTCCGGCAAACAGCTTCGTGCATTAAGGTCCATCCTTTTAACCCAAGCATTTGCGGGCTCCCCCATTCCAAAAGGGGTTCCCGGTTCCCCTGTTTTACCCAACCATTGTGCGGGGGAACCTCCGATTTTGAGACAAACCCGACTGACGTGGTGGCTATTTTCTTTGGTTTGCTGACTCAGAGATTCTGGGTAACTCCTAAGCATTTGGCCGGAAATAAGGGATCCAATCGAGATCCCCAACGGAAGCTTCACCAGCAACGCCTTGGGTCGCCATGACCCATCCGTTTGCTGACAATGAGAGTTGCCCACAGCCCCTAGATCTCAGGAAGAAAGGCCACGGAATGTTTGGGGCATCCTTGGGTGGACATTATAGCTTCGGAATTGGTGACGTGGATGTTGCTATCCAAGCTTCAGATTCCAAGCTGGATGGACAGTCGCACAGTCTCTGGGTTTGAAGTTGCTTGCGAGGTAAACGGACAGAAGGATCACATTTACTCAGCGTGGGAGCGTGTCAAACTGTTCACCACCAGGGAACTCCTTTTTGTGAGATGGTGTCAAGTATTACGCTGACGCATTGTCACTGGAGATGTGTGTTCTGTGGTCAGCATGCCGCATCCGTTGCAGAACCACACATTCCCCGTTCAATTCATTCGCGCCCTTTGTCAGTCTTTCAGCATCTTGGTTCTCAATGAAGCATGTCTTGCCGTGAGCATGTTGACAACAACCAGACTCGTGTTTACGTTTCAGAAATTGGGCAAGTGCTGACATGTTCTCAGGTTTTGAATTCGGAACCAAGCAGCCCACCTTTTGTCCGGCGCTACCCGATGTTCCAGACCATCCCAAATACACTTCGTGCTGCTTCCACATGACAAATGAGGGTACCTGTTTGTTGGGTACTATTTTGGAGTGGTTTTAAAGGGCGACCAACAGGACACCATCCATGCTTGAGGGTTCCCTTATTTTGAGACACACCCAACGTAGTTCTCTGAAAATGATAAAGGATCTTTGCTCAAAGTTCTACTTTGACCATCCCAATTAGCAACTGGGTTTCAATGCTCAGGGGGCAACCGAGGCTGTATAGTGTCCACATAAACTCGATTGCAGTGAAGTGGCCCCACGGGGAATAGCTTCAGCGCTCAGCTTTCCCGTTCGATGGGCTTCCTTTTCCTCCATCTTCCTGTTCTATGCGTCAAAGGATTGCACGGATCCAGGATCCTGGATCCATCGGCGTCTGGACCAAGGCCATTGCCGGAAGATGTTGCACAGATGCTTGCAGCAATGCCCGCCTGCAGAAAACACACATCAACACTTTAAATTCGGACAGCCGTGATGGTTATTGGGAGTGTACTTCTTGCATTTCAGAAACTAAACTAGGATTCTACATCACAGAGTGTGAGTTCTTGAGCAGGACGACCACACTCAGGCTGAATAGAAGCATCTATTGAGTTGAATGATTGATTGTGGTAATATTGATCCTGATAATGATGACGATAACGATGACGATGATGATGACGACGACAAGGGGAGGAGGAGGAGGAGGAGGAGGAGGAGGAGGAGCAGGAGGAGGAGGAGGAGGAGGAGGGGGAGGGGGAGGGGGAGGGGGAGGAGGGGGAGGAGCAGGAGGAGGAGGAGGAGCAACAATCATGGCGATGGTGATGGTGGTGAATAAGAATGATGACATGGATGATGGTGATGGTGATGGTGATGGTGATGGTGATGGTGATAGTGATGGTGATGATGAGGATGATGATGATGATGATGATGATGATGATGATGATGATGGTTTTTATGGCGAGGATAAGGGTGGTGATGACAACTATTGCATGTGATGATTAATGTAATACCAGAAATGGCAGGCATCGCATGCGCTCACATGCATGGGCGCCAGATGGCAGTGGTCCGGATTTTTGGTCAGCAGGAGCAAGATTCGTAATATGCTCCAAGATCTAGGCTGGGAAGTGACTCAGCACGGCGCAACTCTGCTAAACTGTTTACCACCAGCTTCGCCACAAGAATGTGTTTGCCCAAAAGAAAACCCACTCAGCTCACCCATGCTTCCCCAACCTGAGGAATTTGCTCACTTATATACTCATGCCTGCGGGTTGTTCATCTATTTGTGCGGTACTGCAAATGATAGGCCTTGTCGAGCAAAACGGTTGACCGCAGCACCAAGGGCCAGGTTCCAGCCCGGTTTGTGGAGAGGCGTTCAATTGCCCGACTTCCGGGGAGGAGGGGTGGTGGCCAACGCGAGTCGTTTTGGTGGGCCAATATGTTGTACCTGTGTTTGCCCTTAATTAAACATGGGGTCATGGCACATCGTGCAAATCAGTGTTTCCAATGCCCTTCCACAGACAGGTTTTGTTTGACTATTTCCATTTTGGGAAGGATTGCACTTGGCATTTGCATGGGGCATTGTAACGGGTTTGTCCTTCCCGTGGAATGCTTGTGGACACATCTGGCTGATTCTCAGGGCATCAAACCGGGGATGGTTCGGAGCAGGGTCATTCCCTCGTTTCCCGAAAACAAGTAAGACATACCCTCCCACCAGCTAACATGGAATCTGCAAGGGGGTCCCCTTTTCAGGGAAAATGGTCAGGTTCCATGTGAATTGGTCCATTGGTGGGAGGTTAACAGACAAATCCCCGACCCGGAGGCGCGGTGGTGGGCATCTTCTACGACCACGCCATCCGCTTGGCGAGGTCCGTGCGCTTCGGACCCATGAGCACTGCGCTGCAAGGCACGGATTCGCGACCGAGTTTTGAGGTTGGAGCGATCCCATCGTTCCAAAGCGAATCGACCGTTTCAAACCCGAATTGGTCCATAGTCACCCCAGCTTGTTTAGCTGAAAGAAAGATAGTCCTTTGGGCAACTGAGAATCGAAACAGGGTGATTGGAGAGTAGTTGAAGGGTAGCGGGTCGGCCATCTCAATGCTATAGGCTCTTGTTGTAAGTCATCCTTGCTTGTGAGCGGGTGTCCCCATGCAGTTTTGTTACGAGAGGCATGTTGTGACCAAATCTTGTTGGTGTTACCTTGAGCATGTGCCCAATCCGTGCTGTCTTTGTTTCAGGGACCACTGCACAGTTTCTGGGGGGCAGGGTTAAGTCGCGTCATCTTGGGGATGTTGCATCGGCCTTCGACGCTTCTGGAGTCTGCCGCTGCTGCCGCCGCCGCCGCTGCTGCTGCTGCTGGAGTTCTGCTGCTACTGGTGTTTCAGCTGCTGCTGCCGCTGTTGCTGCTGCTGCTCGTGTTTCTGCTGGACAGTCCTTGCATCACCACTCTTAAACTGCTGCGCCTCTTTGATTGAAAATACCAACACGCCTGACAAGGAGCTGGGCTAAGCCAGAACTTCCAACTTCCCTTTGCAGATTGAACTCAGAAATGGGTGTGTCCTTTTTTTTGGGTGTTTGGTGGTGTTCAAGAGAAACCAAAGGAAAACCACCATTTTCGCAGGCCGCCGGATCCCAAAAAGTACGGACCCACACATCCATGTTGCGTGAGACGGCGAGCGCGGCAGGCATTGTGCACCTGGCCTTCCCGCAGGAGACTCGGGAGGGGCAGCCGGGCTGGCCCCCGAAGACCTGTGATGCGCAAGATGTGGGGGTGTTTTCGGATTGCTTCGACCGACATTGATCTTCTTGCAATCATGTATATATCCTCCGCCTTTGGGCTCAAGGCCCTTCTTTCACAGGCAGCTAGGAGATAGCCACTTGTGCTTACAGGAAAGAGATCAGGACATCATGTAACCAGGACAAATGCTGAACTTCCTCCACATCCATCACCTGATACTTCCTTATCGGTTATGAGATAGACCCAGGGACACAGTGAACTGTGACAGTAGTGGGCGAATTCCTTCTGGTTATGTGGCCCGCTGTACGGGCTACAGGGGGTTGGGGGGTTGGGGGGGGCATGCTGCTTAGGCTGAATTGTCGATCCTAGGCACCAGATTTTTGGCGAGAAGAACATTGAACAAGCAAGGAAGGTCAGTTCGGGTGATTGACTGTGAGCTGCCTGGAAAGGTTCGAGCCGATTGAAGCACCCGGTCAGCCGTTCAGTTGGTTGGATTGGTGAAGAATTAGAACCAGGTACTCATAGTACATAGTTTGTAGTCCCCGTAGCGGAGGACCCTTTTTGGGGCCAGGGTTGGCAATGCTTACCTTTTCTGCGTAGAGCCAAAGAACAGATACTGGGCGTGTCCCAAGAAAACTACCCTACAAAAGCACATGTGGCGCGTGTCAGCATATTCTTGACACAGGCTTCTACGGCACAAGTGTTCAGGGAGCCCTTTCCGACAATGTTTGTCCTTTCATATAGCCGCGCTTCTTCCTCTCGCAGTGGGCTATTATTGCCCCTTTCATTTTGTTGACGCCCTTTGGCTGGTCAGATTTCATGCACTGGTTTTGACAGCGACCTCGCCTTGGATTTGGCAGTTTGGGAAGATAGGGCGGGTACTTGAACCAAGCTGCTTCAGGAAACACTAGTTTCATCTCGCAGGGTCATGTGAGTGGTGGAGGCAAGCAGGTTGGTGTTGATACAGGCGGCACTAACTTGGGCCAGGACGATCAGGCGCCACTCCTGGCCGCCGCAGTTCTTTCGGAGCCCCCATTGCGCTGCGCGCGGCTTCGGCTCGCCGAGACCACTGCCGGTGAGGCGCGGCGAGGGGTTGGCGGCCGGGGGATGGTGCAGGGGCCAACTTCCCTCCTTGTTTCCCTGTCAAAAGCCAGCGCTTGGCTTGTTTGGCAGAGGGAGGGCAAAGGGGGAGCGGGAGAGATCTGAGATTTGCCGGGGGCACTGGCGGGATGAGCTTTTTCCCGGGTCAAAGAGTTTGTTTTGACAGGCAAAGAAAATTTATGTCAACTATTATCAGCGAATGACAGGTACACAGCCACGCGAACCTTGGAAGAACCGTCCGTGATTGACTGTGTACATCCTTCTGCAAGTCAGTTATTTACCCATAGCCTTCCGTCCCAGTGAGTGTCAGTTGCTGGTTGACACAGTTTACGACTCTTGTTTTCCCTTACCCTGAGGTTCAGGTGTGACTTGGACCCTGCTTCCTCCCCCACAGTGTGTGATGCCTCGTGGGGGCTTGTCCAGCACAGCAGGCCCAACCATGTGTAGAATCCGTGCCTTTGTCTGTTTCAGAACGCAAAAGTCCAGCAGAGGTACTGCTCGAGGATTGCCGCGGGCAGCACCAAGAGGACAGACTTCATGTCTTTCTCTCGCAAAGCTGCAGACCTATTTATATATATATATATTGACTATGCATACCGCTGAATCAAGTTGTATGTTGGTGCTTTGCAAAGGGGCACATGTCAGAATCATATATGTAGTTCTGTCTATATAATGTCATACATATTTGTTGAACAGGCCGCTCAGTTGAAGTGTATGTCCTGGGTCCCTGCACAATTGTTGAGGCCATGCACAAATCGCCGCCTGGGCCGGCGTTTGAGATCGTTTGAGAGAACAATGTTCCGCCTCACGGTGTGATGTTTGGCGAAACCGGACTTTCAAAGAGAGCGCCAGATATCGTCCAAGCACCAGTTGCATCAGTAAATATCACAGGAGGTTTGGTGCTGGCTCAGGCGGTATGTTGAGAATTATTTTGGCAGCGTGCCTTGCATGGGTACGGGTCAAAATTAAACCATCAGCGGACCGCAGGTTTTAGTCCTTGTTTCCATTTCCTAGTGTTTCATTTGGGGTACCCATTGTTGGCCCACACCCACATGGCCCCTGAATTGAGGCCTAGTTCTGAAACCTGACCAACCTGACTCGGCATCGCCAGGCTCAGAGGTTGCTTGACAGGCCACGTGCAAGTAAGTGCCCTCCACAGGCCACGCGCGCAACCTGGCAGACGAGTTGCCCTTTGAGCGCCCTTTGAAAGTGACCTGCCAGGTGAACGATTTTTCTGCCTTGAGGCTCTTGGATGGATGCGCCAGGACCCCCCTGACAGTGTCTACGTTTCAGTGCAGCTGGTTTCCGCTGCCCAGCTGAAGCGCGCCGGCCACCGGATCGGCCCCTGTTTCCCCAAAAAACGCGACCACAAGGCGCATGGGGTGTGTCTCTAGTTAGGGCACCTCCCAAAATGGGTTGCGTTCCGTTTTGTTCTCCTTTACAGCCGCAAAACATGGAGGTACCGTCAAAAAGACAACCTCTCTTTGATCGTACGGCATAAAAGCGCCTTGCAGGTTGGCGTCGCGGAACCGCACGATGTTTTTGGGTATTGGGTGATAGTTGGGTCTGTCTTTTTTGAGGCTCGGTGCCGTTTATTATTGGTTTTAAAAGGACACTTACAGGAAAACCACCATTTTGGGCGTTCCCTAAAAAAGCAAGACACCCCCATTTCATGTTTTGATTGAGACACGTTCTCTTCAGCTTCGATGTTGTTACCCCATGGGTCACAGCCAAAACCGCTGCGGAAGAAGATGCTACCCGCTTGCAAATGACTGCTGGAATCCCATTTGCTAGAGGCTGTGCGTGAACAGCCGCAATAGCGCCAGGATTAGCCAGGTGATATCAGCTGACCGTGGGGTCTATGCTGAGTCTCCAACAAAGGCTTTTGGGGTATTGATGTTCGCAGCTTGAGGGGTACAGCTACTTACCAACGTGTGTTGGCGTTGTTAAGGGTGCGAGTGAATTGAGGAATTCGGACTGCAGGCTCGTTCTGTGAGATCCCCGCAGCCTTTGGCACGGCCCTGTCACCGCATCGCATAGTGCGGCGGACGGCTCTACAGAGTTTGAAGATTTTGGATGACTCTGCATCGGTTTTGCGCGTAATAGCAACATGTTGCCTTCAAGCTTGCTTGGTCCTGGAAATGATTGGTTTGGAACTGCCAAGGGACATGCGGATCGCAGCTTGTGTTGGGGCACTAGGGCATGTTGTGTCTACAGCTTCTGCCCCAGAGAGAGGCTGTGGAAGTGGATTGGAGGCGTGCATGGCTTGGCGTTGTGCTGTTTGCAGATGTTGTTTGATTTTTCTCTAGATAGCTGACGTGCTGCAGGTGTTACTTGATTCAGGGCGGTTGTTCGGTTTTGGCTTGCATTGGACCTTGGATGGCGTCCTCATCAACTTGCGAGGGCTCGCATTGCATGCAACTAAGGATGGATCCTCCCTTCTTCAACACCTGGCAGACCGCCTGTGCAGTGTGAAGAGGGCCTCAAATGCTTCAGAAGAGCTTTGATGGGAAAATCGCGTTGCAGCAGAGGGAGGATTGTTCCGAACACGAGTTTTGTACAGGGCCAAACAACGGTTCAGTGGCAACCCCTGCCTGCTAGGCTGTTGCTTTGAAGCTTCTTTCTCCGCATAATCTCTGTGTATGCAAGATTGAGTTTATCATGCTTGATTGGTAAGACTTGTTTGCCAGCCGCATGTCCCGTCCAGCACCTTTTATGGGCTGGACATGCCTGGGTTTTAAACATAATGAGGGCCAGACGTAAGATGTTTGTTGCAACAAAGAACAGTTTGTTGTTTACATACTATGTATAGTTGCCTCGGACTGACTGCTTTGAAATGGTGTTGTGTCCTGTCTGGGGCTGAACACAGCATTGCGTGCTCCATCGTTTGCCACTCAACCTTGCGCCTAGGCGTACTGAGTTTTCCCAGCAGCCGCCAGTCGTGGTTGATTTGTCACGGGAGAGGCCTTTTGAATCCACCAGGATTCATCTCATATTATGGCGTAGTGAGTGACTAGTGAAAGAAATTGCCTGAACCAGTCTCAATGAAGGATTAGTGATCCCGTTGACTGATCGCCCCAATTGCTGGTTCAATCCACACGAGGATGTCTACCACCATCTACTACCCCAAAAAACACTTTTTCCACTAGGAAATGGCTTATGTTGTGTTCATATACCCCGTTTGGAGGAAGCGGAAGCTACGGCACCTTCAGCAACAAGCGCTGGACCCATCATGGCAGCCAAGACTTGACCTGCGTATTTTCAGCAACTGCGCTCCCCGGCCTTTATTGTTGTCCCCTGAGCTTCACGATGTGAAACCTGACGTCTTGCCTGAAGCTTTGCCAATGCTCACTTTGGCATGATGGCAGTAAGCGGGGCAAAGAGTAAGGGATGAGCATTTTAATCACACCCTGTGCACAAAGAAACCTTCCTTCATAGCAGGTATGAAGTGAAGCTTGCAGCCTAGAAGTATTTCATTCTCCTCACCTTCACAGATTCCGGCCAGCTCCGCTTGCAATAAGGCCAAGGCTCTCACAGGCAAGAAAGGCGCGATGGGCTGTAGGGGCACTTTCAGAGGTTTGCGGAAGGCAGGGTTAGGTGGAACTCTTTCAAGCCATGAGACCCTGACCCTTGCAATGTGAAATCCAAATGGCAGTGGCTCAAAATTCAAGAGCTAGGGTTACGCAGGTTTTAATCCATGTTTTCACTCACCAGGGTTCCATTTCGGTACCGGTTTTTTTAGCCATACCCAAATTATGAGCCAATGCTGAAGCATCAGTGCTTGCATCTTTACAGGTCGACCCGGTCCCGCCAGCATCTCACAGATTAGTGTTGCACTGGGTGAGGCGACATCTGAGTGTGGAGATCAGATAGATTTATGGCAGCAGAAGACTTTGCAAAACCAGACGGCAGGAGATCAAGCCATTTCCAGATTTATTTATTTTTTGGCAGCAGACGCCACGGACACAACAAAACAGGAACAGACCAAATCGAATCCAGAGTGAGTCCAAAGCCAGTCCGTAATAAGCATCATGGCTTGCATTGTAAGCCATTGCCCATTTGCAGAGTTCTCCAGTTCTATGTTTTCTTTCTCCTTGTTTGCCAGTTAAATTCATGGCACGCGTGAATCAACTGGCACGCCTACCTTGCTTAGTATGTCTTTGCATTCCTGGCTTGATTAGGCCATGGCACCTTTTTGTCCTGAAGCTGCATTCTCTGCAAAACAAGATACCTCGCCCTTGATTCGCATTGTTGTGCTGTTCAACCAATGGTGACATGCTGTACATTGCATTGCACTGCCCTGCATTGCATACATTACATTACCACCACACATACATACCTACATCCATCCCATCCCGTCTTATCCCATCCCAACCCATCCCATCCCATCCCCTCCCATCCCATCCCATCCCCTCCCATCCCATCCCATCCCATCCATCCGCGCATTGCTTATCCTTTCATTCATTCATTCATTCATTCATTTGTTCGTTTGTTCGTTCGTTTGTTCGTTTGTTCACTCACTCACTCACTCACTCACTCACTCACTCACTCACTCACTCACTCACTCACTCACTCACTCACTCACTCACTCACTCACTCACTCACTCACTCACTCACTCACTCACTCACTCACTCACTCACTCACTCACTCACTCACTCACTCACTCACTCACTCACTCACTCACTCACTCACTCACTCACTCACTCACTCACTCACTCACTCACTCACTCACTCACTCACTCACTCACTCACTCACTCACTCACTCACTCACTCACTCACTCACTCACTCACTCACTCACTCACTCACTCACGCATGCACACATCTATATCATATGTCTTATGACATACATATGCATGCTCATGTTCTATTTACTATCGTGTCGCTAGAAGGAACACCAAATCGGTTTGGTGAACAAACATACACCCGATTGTTTGCGAGTATGTGTTCTGTTTGTTGACTTGGTATGCACATATATACATATATTATAATACATATATATATATATATACATGTATATGTGTACTTCAACAAGCCGCGTGCAAATGGATCAGGTAAGACCTAGCAACGCTTTGGGCAGCATGCCCGCCTTGCCAGGCGCGATTCCAACTCACCGCCCGCCTCCCCAACCAGGCAGGTTATTGGAATCATGTTCAGGTGTATCGCGAAGCTTCCGCCCGCAATGCACATGATATGTTTAATCACGATGTGAGGAGTAGCCCTTGAACATGTGACAACCCTGTTCAGCACAGAACGCCAACTGCCAACAAGAAGCGAGACACTAACACCAAATAGGCGTTCCAGCTGTGGAGTCTGTTCAGCTAGGAACCCTTTGTGATCAGTTGGATCCCAGAAGGAAGGACACCGTGCAGCTGTAATGCCCGTGAGTGCTTACTTCGTTCATTCATACCGCTACGACTCTGCAGTCGGTGCAAGTGGGGCTTTTGGGCAAAGCTGTGCTCAGAAGTATGCGGCTTCAGTCGCAAAATGCCTGAATCATGTCAGATTGCATCAACATGCTGTAGATGGACAAAATCCATTTTGCACCAGTTGGGATGGATGAAACTCGATTTAAATACTGGGGTAAAGCATCTTCCATTTTGTCCACCCACAGTAGGGGATCTAGGATGGCGATTGACCACTTCTGCTCGCGATCAGCATATCTCCAGGTTCCCTTGCTTCGGGAACTGAAGTTGGGAAACCGGAATCCAATGCAGCCGATGTTCTACTGTGGATGGACAAAATCCTGCACCACCTAAGAAACCCTGGAATGGCGATTCCCCTGTAAATACCAACAAACAATGGTTTCAACCATTGTTTCAAAGTGGTGCAGGATTTCGTCCATCCACAGTAGGCAAGAGGCAAATATTCAAACTCTGCTTGTTTTCATGCGCCAACCGCGCAAGACGGCAGATTAGTGACTCTGCTGGATTGAGCTGATCGGAGCTCCAGAAGCACCTTTCACTGGAGAGCACTTCTTAGACGTTCTTGTCGGTAGCCTCAGCATCGAACGGGCCCTCAACAAGGAAATCCCTTTTTGAGGTCTACAACCTCTGATGTTTATGGTGGCACCAGTCCTCCCTTGGACTTCCGCCTAACCTGAGCGTTGGGGCTGGCCTTTTCCGAGCCATGCAGGGCGCAGCCATGTTCTGTAAATGCCAACAAAGGCAATGCCTCGGTTACATCATCTCCGGGCCTATCTTTCGATGATTACTAGCCCGACAAGAAGCTAACATGAGGCTTGTTGCAAGGATTCGACGGATTGCCATGGGAACTTTGAAGCCAAAGGATAGGCTCAACACGCCTCACCGTTCTTTGAATATAAAGCATACCGGACCGGCGACATAGGACTGAAGTGTTAGGCATCGCAATGGTTACCCTCCTGCGCATTAGCATGGAGCCTGACAGCTGGAAGACGATTTTCCTTTAAAAGAGACATTTCTCTGATGGGTTCCACAGGAGGGTATCAGCAGTTGGTTCATAAGAGGAGCAACAGACGCAAGGTAATAGCCTTTTGCTTCGTTCGAGCACTGAATCAGATTGGTATCGGTACACTAGAGAATTGCAAGATTTTATGATTTCATGTCAAATGATGGGTTTGCCTACATTGGCTTAATAATATCTGTTGTGTTGCCTTGTTGGTGCTAAAGGGAATTTTTCACTACTGGGCATATGTGGATATGGGTCAACATTTTCATAGATTTCTACATGGGTCCCCCCAAATCCAACCCCCCAAATCCCCATATTTATATAAGCACAAAATAGTGGGAGGAGTCAGAGGCACTCTTCAGGATTCTGATTGTCAGACATGCGCGCAATGCTGTCGCCGCTCTCTTGTGCTTGGTTTAGGGTTCAAGCCGAGTTTTTTGCAAATTTGATTATGTTGTGCTTATTAAAGCTTATTAAAGCTTATTAAAGCTTATTAAAGCTTATTAAAGTTTATTTAAGTTTATTTAAGCTTATTTTGTGCTTAATTTGTGCTTATTTTGCTGTTATTTTCTTATGTTGCCCGTATTTTGCCCTTATGTTGCCCTTATGTTGTGCTTATTTTCTTATGTTGCCCTTATTTTGCCCTTATGTTGCTCTTATTTTGCCCTTATTAAAGTTTAATAACTGTTGTAAAAATAACAAGGAGATAAGCTTAAATAATCTTTAATAAACGTTAATAACCTTTAATAACCTTTAATAACCTTTAATAAACTTTAATAAGGGCAAAATAGGAAGAACCTGTATAACCCCCTGAATCCCATGAAAATTGTGGATTTGGGGGGGTGAATCTGGTGGGACCCCTTTAAAAATCTATGACATTTTACCAACAGGGGACCGCAGGTTGTAGCCCTTGTTTCCATTTACCACGGGGCCCCATTTTGGGGTTACCCCATGTTTGACGCACAGCCATGTTCCAATTTTTTCTTCGGGAAACTCTACTGCAACTGGACACCAAGCGGGAACCCCCGCTACCGCAGCTTAACAAACGGAAGTTGGGGTTTACTTGGTGCAGGCATGGAATGAG